TGAGAGGATAAACAGAGAAGAATGGGAGAAACTCCCCAAATACAGGTGTGCCAAGCTTGTAGTGTCATACCCAAGAAGACTCGAGGTTGTAATCGCTGCCAAAGGTGCTTCAACAAAGTACTGAGTGAAGGGTCTGAATAGCTACAGTTGAAGTCGGAAGTTTACATACACTTAGATTGGAATCATGAAAACTTGTTTTTCAAACACTCCACACATTTCTTGTTAACAAACTATAGTTTTGGCAAGTCGGTTAGGACATCTACATTGTACAGACACATTATTTCACTTATAATTCACTGTATCACAATTCCAGTGGATCAGAAGTTTACATACACTAAGTTGACTATGCCTTTAAACAGCTTGGCAAATTCCAGAAAATGATGTCATGGCTTTAGAAGCTTCTGGCTAATTGACATCATTTGTGTCAATTGGAGGTGTACCTGTGGATGTATTTCAAGGCCTACCTTCAAACTCAGTGCCTCTTTGCTTGACATCATGGGAAAATCAAAAGAAATCAGCCAAGACCTCAGAAAATAATAATTGTAGACCTCCACAAGTCGGGTTCATCCTTGGGAGCAATTTCCAAAAGCCTGAAGGTACCACGTTCATCTGTACAAACAACAGTACGCAAGTATAAACACCATGGGACCATGCAGCCATCATACTGCTCAGGAAGGAGACGCATTCTGTCTTCTACAGATGAACGTACTTTGGTGCGAAAAGTGCAAATCAATCCCAGATCAACAGCAAAGGACCTTGTGAAGATGCTGGAGGAAACAGGTACAAAAGTATCTATATCCACAGTAAAACAAGTCCTATATCGACATCAGCAAGGAAGAAGCCACTGCTCCAAAACTGCCATAAAAAAGCCAGACTACGGTTTGTAACTGCACATGGGGACAAAGATCGTACTTTTTGGAGAAATGTCCTCTGGTCTGATGAAACAAAAATAGAACTGTTTGGCCAAAATGACCATCGTTATGTTTGGAGGAAAAAGGGTTTGCTTGCAAGCCGAAGAACACCATCCCAACCGTGAAGCACGGGGGTGGCAGCATCATGCTGTGGGAGTGCGTTGCTGTAGGAGGGACTAGTGCACTTCACAAAATAGATGGCATCATGAGGAAGGAAAATTATGTGGATATATTGAAGCAACATCTCAAGTCATCAGTCAGGAAGTTAAAGCATGGTCGCAAATGGGTCTTCCAAATGGACAATGACCCCAAGCATACTTCCAAAGTTGTGGCAAAATGGCTGAAGGACAACAAAGTCAAGGTATTGGAGTGGCTATCACAAAGCCCTGACATCAATCCTATAGAAAATGTGTGGGCAGAACTGAAAAAGTGTGTGCGAGCAAGGAGGCCTACAAGCCTGACTCAGTTACACCAGCTCTGTCAGGAGGAATGGGCCAAAATTCATCCAACTTATTGTGGGAAATTTGTGGAAGGCTACGCGAAACATTTGACCCAAGTTAAACAATTTAAAGGCAATGCTACCAAATACTAATTGAGTGTATGTAAACTTCTGACCCACTGGGATTGCAATGAAAGAAGTAAAAGCTGAAATAAATCATTCTCTCTACTATTATTCTGACATTTCACATTCTTAAAATAAAGTGGTGATCCTAACTGACCTAAGACAGTGACTTTTTACTAGGATTAAATGTCAGGAATTGTGAAACACTGAGTTTAAATGTATTTGGCTAAGGTGTATGTAAACTTCCGACTTCAACTGTATGTAAATGTTATATTTTTACATTTGCAAACATTTCTAAAAACCAGTTTTTGCTTGTTCATTACGGGCTATTGTGTGTAGATTGATGAGGCAAAAAAAATCATGTAATCAATTTTAGAATAAGGCCGTAATGGAACAAAATGTGGAAAAAGTCAAGGGGTCTGAATTCACCAACTACAAATTTATTCAAAATGGAACATATAAATGGAAGATATACCAGCAGCAGATATTAACTGGAGTACTGGTCTAATATTATATTCTCATCAAGAAACCCAAATCACCCGCAATAATTTTGCTCTTGGCACATTCATTCATATGGACTGGGAGTGCCCAGAGGTTTTCTCCTTTTGGCAATCTGTGGCTTCATCATTATCAGGCATTTTGTATAAACCCATCCCAATGTGCTACCTCTTAATGATGACTCTTCGCTGAACCTAACATACAGGCAGAGAAGGATTTGGCTTGCCGGTCTAACAGCAGCCAAGAGAATGGTTGCCTTACGATGGCATGCCCCACACACTCTGCCACAGCAGAAGTGGATTTACTTATTCACGGACAAACTTTCGTAAGGCAACTTGAACTGTCAATCTCTCGACTGCATGGTGCAAAAACAGAGAATATTAACATGTGGACTACAACATTTGACAGTATAAAATCATCAATAGCATTTTATCGATGGCAAGTTGAATAAACAGAGATACATTGACGAGATCCTGAGGCCCATTGTTGTGCCATTCATCCGCCGCCATCACCTCATGTTTCAGCAATGATCTGTACCCAGTTCTTCCATGGCCTGCATTCTCACTAGACATGTCACCCATTGAGCATGTTTGGGATGCTCTGGATCGACCTGTACGACAGCGTGTTACAGTTCCCGCCAATATCCAGGAACTTCACACAGCCATTCAAGAGGAGTGGGACAACATTCCACAGGCCACAATCAACAGCCTGATCAACTCCATGCTTAGGAGATGTGTCACACTGCATGAGGCAAATGGTGGCATTACCAGATACTGACTGGTTTACTGATCCACGCCCCTCCCTTTTTTAAATAGGTATCTGTGACCAACAGGTGCATACAGTGTTTTTGGAAAGTATTCAGACCCCTTGACTTTTTCCACATTTTGTTACGTTACAGCCTAATTCTAAAATTGATTTAATTGTTTTTTCCCCCTCATCCCTCTACACACAATACCCCATAATGACAAAGCAAAAACAGGTTTTTAGACATTTTTGCAAATACATAAAAAAAACAATTGAAATATGACATTTACATAAGTATTCAGACCCTTTACTCAGTACTTTGTTGAAGCACCTTTGGCAGCAATTACAGCCTCGAGTCTTCTTGGGTAGACTCTACAAGCTTGGCACACCTGTATTTGGGGAGTTTTGACCATTATTCTTTGCAGATCCTCTCAAGCTCTGTGAAGTTGGATGGGGAGCGTCGGTGCACAGCTATTTTCAGGTCTCTCCAGAAATGTTTGATCGGGCTCAAGTCCGGGCTCTGGCTGGGCCACTCAACGACATTGTCTTGATGGTTCCAAACTTTTTCCATTTAAGAAGTGTGTTAAAGTTTATTTAAACAGGGAGTCACACTGAGATAAAACTAGTTTACAAGAGAGCCCTGTATACGTTTACAAATAAAACCCAATACATAAATAAAACAGAACAGCCCTACAAAACACGCTATAATAAAACCCATAATACACAACATTTAATATATTTAAGAAAAGCAATCGCATTCTGTAACGGAAAAGTATCCAGTCAATAATTTAAAATGCCTGAAAGGCACCAGAATATCTAATTGCAAGGAATTCTGCATATTGTTCCACACATACTGTAAGGGGCAAAAAAACTAAAATCAGATCTTCCCAATTCTGTGGAGACCAAAGGGTTCTCCGGAGCTATCCATCCCTGAGAACGGGTTTGGTAAATTGTACGTCTAAAATTAATCAATGATGTAATGTACAGAGGACATTTCTGCAAGACTGCTTTGTAAATAAATCTAGGAGAGTGCAGCTCTCTTCTTACAGACAGAGAGGTCCATCCCACATATTTGTAAAGATGATGAGTCCTCAAACCGTCCCCAGTGATAAAACGTTTTGCTGAATAGAAAACAGAGGCTGCCACGTGTACATAAATAATGTCACCATAGAATGATGGAGGCCACTGTGTTCTTGGGGACGTTCAATGCTGCAGACATTTTTTGGTACCCTTCCCCAGATCTGTGCCTCGACACAATCCTGTCTCGGAGCTCTACGGACAATTCCTTCGACCACATGGCTTGGTTTTTGCTCTGACATGCACTGTAAACTGTGGGACCTTATATAGACAGGTGTGTTCATTTCCATATCATGTCCAATCAATTGAATTTAGCACAGGTGGACTCCAATTAAGATGTAGAAACATCTCAAGGATGATAAATGGAAACCTGGATGTACCTGAGCTCAATTTCGAGTCTCATAGCAAATATACTTATGTAAATAAGGTATCTGTATTTATTTATTTTTAAACCTGTTTTCACTTTGTCATTATGGGTATTGTTTGTAGATTGATGAGGAAAATGTTTTATTTAATCCATTTTAGAATTAGGCTGTAATGTAACAAAATGTGGAAAAAGAGAAGGGGTCTGAATACTTTCCGAATGCATATTCCTACTCAAACCAACATTTCACCAATTATCTATTCAAAATGGAACAAAGATATACCAGCAGCCGATATTAACTGGAATACTGTTCCAATATTAGATTCTCATTAAGAAACCCAAATCATCCATAATAATAAATGTGTACTTGATCACAAAAACGAATCTGTTTGGATGTGCGGTAGAGTCTGCCTATTATTACATTTACATTTACATTTACGTCATTTAGTACCTGAAACACAATCAATATTGCTGATCCAAGTGTATCGTCAGCAAGGACCAACTTATCACTGGGCATTTCAACTCTGCTTCCACCATGCCTAAGAACACCCCTTAGCCGTCCTATATACGATATACCCAGATAGCACACAAATCTCTGCCCAACCTCTGTACACGATGTACGTAAACAAGACACATCAAGAAGATGCAGCTTAGACACTGTTTGCTCATTGGCAAGACATCTCACCTATGTATTTATAATTCCTTTTATAATAGCATTTCCCTTTGGATTTCAAGAAGACACTACACTCTAACCTCTTATTATGTCACTTAATGTGGTGCAGAAACCTTTTCATGAATTCAAAGCTTGATTAAAACCACAGAGTTTTTGTACAGGCTGTGTGGATCAGTTCTCACTGTGGGTTCCCGAGCCCCAGCAGGCACAGTAGTAGGTGGCAGAATGGGACACTTTAACGGACCGGATCTTCAGATCAATGGAGTCAGACTCAGACTCCCTCCAAGTAGAGAAATCTGCTGCCTGAGGATGAGTGGTATCAGTCTTGACAGAATTGTAATCCAAATCAAAGTATAGAATCCAAGTGAAGGGTTCACCCTCTCTCTTCTGGTACCAGTGGACTCTGTTAAGCGAACAACGACCAGTAACTTTGCAGCCGAAGGAGACAGTCCGTCCCTTTGTAATAGTCTTTGATATCTGGTCCTGTTGCAGCTGCTGTCCTGAAGCAGCCACTGCAAAACAGAAGTGGATCACTAAAAAAGTTTCAGTAGAGTTACTCCATTCAAATATATGGATACAGGTTGGATGAACCACTTACCCAGAAAAAGAGAGAATATTATTATACCACAGTCCATGTTCAGTGAATATGTGCTTAAGATTTGGGAAAATGAAAAGCTAAGCGTTCTATATAACATTGAACAATATGAAAATGTTTAAGAAATTATCACTGAAAATCAGACTGATTTCACAGATCTTTACTGAAGTATGGTTTGGATCATATAGTCGATTATGAAGAGGAGAGGTTAGAAACCAGCTGGAGTGTATCGTCTCAAACAGTTCCTTTGACTATGTCACTTCCTGTGGTGCAAAACACTTTCTTTTTCATTAATTCACAGCTTGATTCATTCGCAGCTCAAAAATCAAGGTAAAAGGTTCTCCCTCCTTCTTCCGGTACCAGTAGACATACATATCCATGATATCTCCTGGTCCAGTTTCTGCCCTGCCATTGACACTGCAATGACAACTGACAACAACACACTCAGACAAAAATACATTTGCAAAAGTTAAAAGCAATTACCTGTCCACAATATTTGCATCAATCATAGACTTAAATTCAGACAGAGACACAATTTTCTGCCAGTAATTTCCAGTTGCTCCATGACTAGGGTGTATTTTAGGAAAAAAAGATACAGTACTTAAATAAAGTGAGTAAAGAATGACAACACAGCCTAGAGACATTTCTATGAGGATTCTGAGATGTATTTTGATGTAGACCTCTATGTACCAGTTCCATATTGCTCCTTTAATACTGACATTGCTCCCTTGTGTCTTTCTCCACAAGATGGTGGTAAAACATAAGCCTATAAATCATGTTTGAAAAAGTTCAATAGAGAAATGGTTCACCTAACCAATTACTATATATTTTCAATCTTATGAATGGGGACCGTTGATTTTGGCTAGATTATCTGCTATCACTGCGTTTACAGCATTTTTATAAACCATTTAAGGTTTATAGTTCACCAAAGTTATAAGTAAGGACGTGGTGATCTGAGTAAAGAACAACACACCTATGACCATGTCAAATGACAAAACCGGACCAAAATGAGCAAATATTTGCTACAGCTTCAATGTCAGAGTATGTGCACACACTCTAATGAACTGGGTAATTGATTAGCAATGCCTTTGGAGCCATCTGACAATCTCTACTAACCATAATATTCAAGGCTAATCAGTAGCCTATGTCAGCCTCTCTGCCTAGGCTATTTTTCTTTAAATGACTCCAGGATTTTTGGAGTTGACTCCGACTCTCGGTAGTCAAGGAGTCGAGGAATCGACTCTTTTGGAGTTGACTCTCTATTTGAGTCTCCTCTGAGGACCAACCTACTCAGTGAATTTCAGATAAAATTAAAACAGTGAAACATTAAAGTTATCCTTTGTAGATAAAACTATACCAAATAAATTAATGTCACCATAAAATGGATGAAAACACACTGTTTTGCAATGAAGGTCTACAGTTGCCTCAACAGCACTCTCTGGGGTAGCACCATGGTGTAGTCGGAGGACAGCTGTTTTCCGTCCTCCTCTGGGTACATTGACTTCAATACAAAACCTAGGAGGCTCATGGTTCTCACCCCCTTCCATAGACTTATACAGTAATTATGACGACTTCCAACCTATCAGAGCTCTTGCAGCATGAACTGACATGTTGTCCACCCAATCAAAGGATCAGAAAATGAATCTAGTACTGAAAGCATAAGCTACAGCTAGCTAGCACTGCAGTGCATAAAATGTAGTGAGTAGTTGACACAATGAGAGAGAAAGACAATAGTTGAGCAGTTTTGAACAAATACATTTAGTCAAATACTAAGGAGAAGCATTAGAGAGAGAGACAGAGAGAGAGAGAGAGAGCTAGCTATATTTCGTAGTATTTTTTTTCACTTTCTCTTAATTTAGTTTGAATGACACTGAGGGGCAACGCTGTTACATCCAATGCCTGTTTGCCTGAGGCTGATGCATACACATGCATACACACACACTCGCATTGAAACACACACGTGCACACACACGGACACACATGTAAATAGTGCCACACATGCACTCAAACAAATACAGTTGGCCTTGCTGTTTTGATTTTTGCTGTCCTTGATGTCTTTTTTTTGGCGTGGTTGTTTTCTGTAGTTTTTTTCCTTTTTGTCTCTTTTTTTGTCTTTTGGCGCGGTGGGTGGGTGGTTGTTTTGGTTGGGTTGGGGGGGGGGGGGGATGTGGAGTGGAGTGGAGGGAGAGGTTTTTCGGCGGGTAGGCTGTGGGGTGGTGGGGTCTTGGATGGTTGGTGGCCTGGCGGTTGGGAGCTTGGGCCGGTGGCCGAGAGGTCGCTGGTTCGGGTCCACGATTTGACTTGGTGGGAGATCTGTCGATGTGCCCTTGGGCGGGCGCTTGTCCCTGGTTGCTCCTGTGGGTCACTCTGGATGGGAGCATCTGCTAGATGACTGAATGTAATGTAAATGTTGAGAGGCTTCACTAAAGGTAGATTGTAGGTTTTAAAATTCAATAAAAAGCGCTCCGGAGCAGGTTTTCATCAAGGATCTCTCTGTACTTTGCTCTGTTAATCTTTGCCTCGACCCTGACTAGTCTCCCAGTCCCTGCCACTGAAAAACAACCCCACAGCATGATGCTGCCACCACCATCCTTCACCGTAGGGATGGTGCCAGGTTTCCTCCAGACGTGACGCTTGGTATTCAGGCCAAAGAGTTCAATCTTGGCTTCATAAGACCAGAGAATCTTGTTTCTCATGGTCTGAGAGTCTTTAGGTGCCTTTTGGCAAACTCCAAGCGGGCTGTCATGTGCCTTTTACTGAGAAGTGGCTTCCGTCTCGCCACTCTACCACAAAAGCCTGATTGGTGGAGTGCTGCAGAGATGGTTGTCCTTCTGGAAGGTTCTCCCATCTCCACAGAGGAACTCTAGAGCTCTGTCAGAGTGACCATCAGGTTCTTTGTCACCCTCCCTGACCAAGGCCCTTCTCCCCAGATTTCTCAGTTTGGCCGGGAGGCCAGCTCTACGAAGTGTCTTGGTGGTTCCAAACTTCTTCCATTTAAGAATGATGGAGGCCACTGTGTTATTGGGGACCTTCAACACTGCAGACATTTTTTTGTACCCTTCCCCAGATCTGTGCCTCGACACAATCCTGTCTCGGAGCTCTATGAACAATTCCTTCAACCTCATGGCTTGGTATTTGCTCTGACATGCACTGTCAACTGTGGGAACTTATATAGACAGTTGTGTGCCTTTCCAAATCATGCCCAATCAATTGAAAATACCACAGGTGGACTCCAATCAAGTTGTAGAAACATCTCAAGGATGATCAATGGAAACAGGATGCACCTGAGCTCAATTTCGAGTCTCATAGCAAAGGGTCTGAATAGTTTTATTTCTAAAAACCTCTTTTCGCTTTGTCATTATGGGGTATTGTGTGTAGATTGCTGACATTTTTTTTAAAATGTCATCCATTTTAGAATAAGGCTGTAACGTAACAAAATGTGGAACAAGTCAAGGGGTCTGAATACTTTCCGAAGGCACTGTAGCTGCACAAACGATCTCAGTTAACCTTGTATCTTTATTGACCTTTTATGTCAATCTCTGCACTGTCTCTATGCACACTCACATGGCCCTACACACTCACACACACTGTCACTCCAACACACACAAACACTCCATCATTTGCTCACTCACACATAATATGCACATGTATGAGAGCACCAGCTGCTCCGGACGACTGTATAATAACGCTCTCTATAGCCGATGTGAGCAAGACCTTTAAACAGGTCAACATTCACAAAGCCGCAGGCACAGATGGATTACCAGGACGTGTACTCAAGGCATCCGCGGACCAACTGGCAAGTGTCTTCACTGACATTTTCAACCTCTCCCTGACTGAGTCTGTAATACTGTACCTACCATAGTCCCTGTGCCCAAAGAAGCGAAGGTAACCTGCCTAAATGATAACCACCCCATTCGCATAATGCCTCAACAGATCCACAGATGACACAATCTCACCTATGTGAGAATGCTGTTCATTGACTACAGCTCAGCTTTCAATACCATAGTGCCCACAAAGCTCATCACTAAGCTAAGGACCCTGGGACTAAACGCCTCCCTCTGCAACTGGATCCTGGACTTCCTGACGGGCCTCCCCCAGGTGGTAAGGGTAGGTATCAACACATCTGCCACGCTGATCTCAACAAGGGGGCCCCTCAGGGGTACGTGCTTAGTCCCCTCCTGTACTCCCTGTTCACCTATGACTCCGTGGCCAAACACGACTCCAACACCATCATTAAGTTTGCTGACGACACAACAGTGGTAGGCCTGATAACCGACAATGATGAGACAGCCTATAGGGAGGTCAGATACCTGGCAGTGTGGTGCCAGGACAACAACCTCTCCCTCAATGTGAGCACGACAAAGGAGCTGATTGTGGACTACAGGAAAAGGCGGGCCAAACATGCCCCATTAACATCGACAGGGCTGTGGTGGAGCGGGTCCTTGGTGTCCACATCACCAACTAACTATCATGGTCCAAACACACCAAGACATTTGTGAATTGGGCACGACAAAAACTTTTCCCCCCTCAGGAGACTGAAAAGATTTAGCATGGGTCCCCAGATCCACAAAAAGTTCTACATCTGCACCATCGAGAGCATCCTGACCGGTTGCATCACCGCCTGGTATGGCAACTGCTCGGCATCTGACTGTAAGGCAATACAGAGGGTTGTGCGTCCGTCTCAGTACATCACTGGGGCCAATCTTCCTGCCATCCAGGACCTATATACTACGTGGTTTCATAGGAAAGCCCAAAAAATTGTCAAAGACTCCAGTCACCCAAGTCATAGACTGTTCTCTCTGCTACTGCATGGCAAGCGGTACCGGGGTGCCAAGTCTAGGATCAAAAGGCTCCTTAACAGCTTCTACCCCCAAGCCATAAGACTGCTGAACAATTAATCAAATGGACACCCGGACTATTTACAATGACAACCCCCCTCCATTTGTTTTTATGCTGCTGCTACCCTCTGTCTATTATCTATGTATAGTCACTTTACCCATACCTACATGTACAAATAACCTCGACTAACCTGTACCCCCGCACATTGACTCGATACCGGTACCCCCAGTAATACATTATTATTGATTATTGCATTGTTGGGTTTTGTGTTTGCAAGAAAGGCATTTCACTGTACTTGTGCATGTGACATTAAAACCTGTGTGTCACTGGTCTGGAGGTTAGCTCAATTATTTTGGGACTTTGAGCGACTTTTTGATTGGTTCTCATATGCAAAGCTATTTGCATGCACAATGTCCCCCACACTTCCTCGTCAATTTGCTACTCCACCACTAGATTGGTAAAAAAGCCAAGCTAAAGTTAGGCAGCTATTTAAAACTGTGGGGAGAAAAACTCTGTGATGGAGCTTTCTGAAAAGGAGATAGAGAGACGACACTGCCACATAGTAACGACCAACGTAGGGATTTAATTAAAATAGGAGCAACTTGAAGCATTTCAATCATTTGTGCGAGGGGAGGATGTATTGGCAGTCTTGCCAACGGGCTGTGGGGAAAAACCTAATTTACCAGTAAGCTAGCTAGTTATGATATTCGATTCTGACAGTCGTGTCCCGGCTGATGGCTGTGGTGGATGGATGACCAAATCCACAAGGCAAAAGCCATGGGTCTCAGAGCAGTGGTTGTGGAAGAAGACAAGCACACTATATGGGAAGGTGCATGCGACCTTGTCTTCGGAAGTCCGGAGAGCTGGTTGGGGAAGACCGGGAAGACCGGGAGATTTGTGTTGGCCTCAGTCCTATACAGCTCCAAAATCATGGGAATCGTTGTGGATGAAGTGCAATGAGCTTGAACTGTACTTCGACGGTATAGAATAGTACAGCGATGGCTACATGTAATGACCTTGTGAATCCAGGTGAAAGCTATGATCCCTTGTTGATGTCACACGTGAAATCCTCTTCAATCAGTGTAGATGAAGGGGAAGAGACAGGTTAGAAAATGATTTTTAAGCCTTGAGACAATTGAGAAATGGATTGTGTATGTGTGCCATTCAGAGGGTGAATGGGCAAGACAAAATACTTTGAATGGGGTGTCGTGGAAATTTTACACCAGGGACACACAAAGTCAAATTTAAATGAATCATTGTTTATTAACAGTTCACTGGAGAGGTTCCAACCAACTCAATGCACCAAGTACACATGTCGATCAGGAGCTCCCACGATGCAGTCCCATTAGTTATCTTATATACTTACACAGACAAGTAGTATTTGCATGATTTAGGTTATTAATTATTCATAATTAATTCACCATCAACGTTTGGTTCATGCATGTGACCGACCAATAACTCACAAGGCTTCTTCTCTCCAAGCTGAGACTTTGAAACTGAGATATCCCTTTCGTTCGCAAAATAGGTTCTGGGCATACTACCAAATTGCTCTACTGATAGTGAGGATTCCTCCCAGGCACATTCAATCAGTCACTTGCATGAACACTGAAATTGGTTATTAGAAAAGCACAAACATAGAACACAGAAATTGGTTATTAGAAAAGCACAAACACAACATTTTCCATCACATTCCCTCCTCTTATCACTCACTCTGTGATCATTATCATTACATTTTATTCATATGATTATTACTTAAACTATCAAAATCAACGCATAAAACCACACTTTTAAACCCTTAATTCTGGGTCGTACAATCATTCTGGGTTGTACTTGTAAAACCATTGAAGTAGAATGTTTTAACTGAATATCTTCACTTCATACAGTTACACATATGCTTCATTACACAATTTATTTTATGGATTCTGGCAATGACATTTCAGTTGGAGCTTTTGTCGCAAGTGGCATGTTAATGATAGATAAGTATCTCGATGCATTTCTAGTCTAAAGTACTATACATTTAGCAGTGTACAGACCTCCATAATAATAATATAATAATATAATAGTAATAATATAATAATAATATAAATAATATAATAATAATATAATATGCCATAATCAACCTGATACCCCAAATTAACAATTTTGGATAAGCCTAAATCAATTACGAGCACGGTTGACCACCGCACTCCTTCACGGCACTCATCCTTCTGGCGTGTCTACATTTTCTTCTTCAGATAGCTTTACAGTTTGTCCTCCCAATGGCACACGTGTTCAAAGTGGATGGCCCTTGATAATGTCCCAATTTCAATATCTGAGGAATAATCTGAATTTCCCAGCAGACTAATATCTCACCTGAGCCGTCACCATCCTTTACAGTCATTATGTCAATTTTCCAACCAGTACACCAGCAGCATGAGAGAAGTTTGGAAGGGATCCCTCTCCATGTTTCCGCTCCATGCTCACTCCATGTGGACTCAGAGAAAAGGCATGAGAGAAAAGGCAGTTGATAGCTAAGACTGGATGCTGTGTACAGGTTGCTGGCTCGGACTCAGGTCTCACGGGAGAAGTGGTGAAGGACCATAGTGAACGCAATTGTCGCCATTACTTCAGCGGGTTAGAGGGGGTGAGGCTCACACTGTTCTTGGCCGAATTATCCCTTCCATGCATCTAGAAACCATCTGTGGTCACCTTCCCCATAACCTCGAGAGAGGACATACCCAAACAACAGTTTACGGCATTTCTGATTCAGGAAATCCACACAAGCTATTCACTATATAACAAATTACAAATTATTCACTGTATTTCAAATTATTACTACTATTAAAAAAATTTTAACGGGTAGATCAGCTTTAACATTGCAGATAGATTGTAACTTCCATCAATGTAATTGTCTGCATCACTTCCAATCCCCCATATGTTTTTCTTTTCTTCTGGCAAATATGTATATATATATATATATATATATATATATATACATACATATATATACACATATATATATACATATACATACATACAGTGAGGGAAAAAAGTATTTGATCCCCTGCTGATTTTGTACGTTTGCCCACTGACAAAGAAATGATCAGTCTATAATTTTAATGGTAGGTTTATTTGAACAGTGAGAGACAGAATAACAACAACAAAAATCCAGAAAAACGCATGTCAAAAATGTTATAAATTGATTTGCATTTTAAAGAGGGAAATAAGTATTAGACACCCTCTCAATCAGAAAGATTGTTACCTGTATAAAAGACACCTGTCCACAGAAGCAATCAATCAATCAGATTCCAAACTCTCCACCATGGCCAAGACCAAAGAGCTCTCCAAGGATGTCAGGGACAACATTGTAGACCTACACAAGGCTGGAATGGGCTACAAGACCATCGCCAAGCAGCTTGGTGAGAAGGTGACAACAGTTGGTGCGATTATTGGCAAATGGAAGAAACACAAAATAACTGTCAATCTCCCTCGGCCTGGGGCTCCATGCAAGATCTCACCTCGTGGAGTTGCAATGATCATGAGAACGGTAAGGAATCAGGCCAGAACTACACTGGAGGATCTTGTCAATGATCTCAAGGCAACTGGGACCATACTCACCAAGAAAACAATTGGTAACACACTATGCCGTGAAGGACTGAAATCCTGCAGCTCCCGCAAGGTCCCCCTGCTCAAGAAAGCACATACTGTATACAGGGCCGTCTGAAGTTTGCCAATGAACATCTGAATGATTCAGAGGAGAACTGGGTGAAAGTGTTGTGGTCAGATGAGACCAAAATCAAGCTTTTTGGCATCAACTCAACTCGCCGTGTTTGGAGGACACTGGCCTAGCCAGTCTCCAGACCTTAATCCCATAGAAAAACTGTGGAGGGAGTTGAAGGTTCGAGTCAGCCTCGAAACCTTAATGACTTGGAGAAGATCTGCAAAGAGGAGTGGGACAAAATCCCTCCTGAGATATGTGCAAACCTGGTGGCCAACTACAAGAAACATCTGACGTCTTTCATTGCCAACAAGGGTTTTGCCACCAAGTACTAAGTCATGTTTTGCAGAGGGGTCAAATACTTATTTCCCTTATTAAAATGCAAATCAATTTATAACATTTTTGACATGCGTTTTTCTGGATTTTTTTGTTGTTATTCTGTCTCTCACTGTTCAAATAAACCTACCATTAAAATTATAGACTGATCATGTCTTTGTCAGTGGGCAAACGTACAAAATCAGCAGGGGATCAAATACTTTTTTCCGTCACTGTACATACATACAAGTATTTTATACACTGCCGATTTTGCAGTTTTTCCTAATTACAAAGCATGTAGAGGTCTGTAATTTTTATCGTAGGTACACTTCAACTGTAAGAGACGGAATCTAAAAGAAAAATCCAGAAAATCACATTGTATGGTTTTTAAGTAATTAATTTGCATATTATTGCATGACATAAGTATTTGATACATCAGAAAAGCAGAACTTAATATTTGGTACAGAAACCTTTGTTTGCAATTACAGAGATCATACGTTTCCTGTAGGTCTTGACCAGGTTTGCACACACTGCAGCAGGGATTTTGGCCCACTCCTCCATACAGACCTTCTCCAGATCCTTCAGGTTTCGGGGCTGTCGCTGGGCAATACGGACTTTCAGCTCCCTCCAAAGATGTTCTATTGGGTTCAGGTCTGGAGACTGGCTAAGCCACTCCAGGACCTTGAGATGCTTCTTATGGAGCCACTCCTTAGTTGCCCAGGCTGTGTGTTTCAGGTAGTTGTCATGCTGGAAGACCCAGCCACGACCCATCTTCAATGCTCTTACTGAGGGAAGGAGGTTGTTGGCAAAGATCTTGCGATACATGGCCCCATCCATCCTCCCCTCAATACGGTGCAGTCGTCCTGTCCCCTTTGCAGAAAAGCATCCCCAAAGAATGATGTTTCCACCTCCATGCTTCACGGTTGGGATGGTGTTCTTGGGGTTGTACTCATCCTTCTTCTTCCTCCAAACACGGCGAGTGGAGTTTAGACCAAAAAGCTATATTTTTGTCTTATCAAACCACTTGACCTTCTCCCATTCCTCCTCTGGATCATCCAGATGGTCATTGGCAAACTTCAGATGGGCCTGGACATGCGCTGGCTTGAGAAGAGGGACCTTGCGTGCGCTACAGGATTTTAATCCATGATGGCGTGGTGTGTTACTAATGGTTTTCTTTGAGACTGTGGTCCCAGCTCTCTTCAGGTCATTGACCAGGTCCTGCCGTGTAGTTCTGGGCTGATCCCTCACCTTCCTCATGATCATTGATGCCCCACGAGGTGAGATCTTGCATGGAGCCCCAGACCGAGGGTGATTGACCGTCATCTTGAACTTCTTCCATTTTCTAATAATAGTGCCAACACTTGTTGCCTTCTCACCAAGCTGCTTGCCTATTGTCCTGTAGCCCATCCCAGCCTTGTGCAGGTCTACAGTTTTATCCCTGATGTCCTTACACAGCTCTCTGGTCTTGGCCATTGTGGAGAGGTTGGAGTCTGTTTGATTGAGTGTGTTGACAGGTGTCTTTAGAAAGGTAACGAGTTCAAACAGGTGCAGTTAATACAGGTAATGAGTGGAGAACAGGAGGGCTTCTTAAAGAAAAACTAACAGGTCTGTGAGCGCCGGACTTCTTACTGGTTGGTAGGTGATCAAATACTTATGTCATGCAATAAAATGCATTACTTAAAATTACTTAAAAATCATACAATGTGATTTTCTGGATTTTTGTTTTAGATTCCGTCTCTCACAGTTGAAGTGTACCTATGATAAAAAAGTACAGACCTCTACATGCTTTGTAAGTAGGAAAGTGTATAAAATACTTGTTCACCCCACTGTATGTTATGTCAGAAAAAATCAGTTACAAATTCCTCTGTCCTAGTTAAAAACAAGTTATCATCCAATAGGCTTTGATAAAATTTCCAATATCCTCGCCCACGTGGAAATTCATTAAGAGTAATGTATATGCCAATTATATGATGGTCCGACCGCATTCTGTCCCCTATCAACACTTTTTAAACTTTTGGTGCCAACGACAATGACGTAAGAAAGACTTCAAGATGACTAGCTTGATTGAGTCTCCGACATGTATATCTCACTAGATCAGGATATTTAAGCCTCCATATATCTACTAGTTCTAATGTATACATGACATTCACAATTTCCTTAAGAGCATGTGGGTGATTGTTTGCAGTGTGATTTCCTTTACGGTCCATTGAGCTATTTAAAACGGTATTATAATCTCCCACCATGATAATATAGTCTTGAATTGCTTGCAGGGCTGATAATTTATTATACATATTGTCAAAGAAGTGTGGATCATCATTATTTTGTCCGTAAAGTTTAATGGGCTATATCTGTTTATGGTCCAATAACATATTTAAAGTAATCCATCTACCTTACGTATCTATTTGGACAATTTGCACATTCAGATCGAAATTACTGTTAATTAATATTATCACCCCTCCTGAGTTGCTTTGCCCATGGGAGAAGTATATTTCGCAACCCCCCCCCCCCCCCCCCCCCCCCCCCCCCCCCCCCCCCCCCCCCCCCCCCCCCCCCCCCCCCCCCCTCCCCCAATTCCGTTTTCCACACATCTTCATCTAGAATTGTTGAATGAGTTTCCTGTAAGCAATATATATATTACATTCCTTATTTTTGAGCCATGTAAATATTGTTCTTCTTTTGTTATTATCTGATAAGCCATTAAAATTATAACTGGCTATACTTATTTCACAACATACCATAATGAGATACAAGTTTCAAATCTATTTATTTTTAATATGTTTGTAAATGTACCAATAAAAAATACCATAATGATTGAGTGTCCATATAGCTGTACCATGATATTTGCATTGCTACTAAGTAACCCTCCAATTGTTCTCAAGTTGGGCCTACAACCCAGTGATCGGCATACCACCCCCGTCCCCCCGGATCCCTAGGCCCCCGAGAGGCCAGGACCCATCCATCGAAAACAGCACACAGTGCCACCCACAAAACAGAAGCAGGTCAACCGCCAAAAGCATTTCCAATGCTCTCACCTCAATATATATATATATATAGCTATTTTAAAATATATATCTATTCAAATATCTTACATATCTTATTTTCCATCATTATCAATTAATATGCGTAATAATGTTGGCAGTTCATGCGTAGGATTTTAACCTATAACCCGGATTGCCATTGTATTACAGTACATTTTTGACAAGCAATTATTATTTTAGCAAACAATTATTGTGGTTCATCCTATATTCTCCCTAACATCCTTACCCCCTTGCAACAGATGTGGGATAAACACACGCACATACTCAACCCCTTTCCTCCACAATCAACCATAAGATCAGATGCTCAACGGTTGTTAAATCCCAGAGCCCAACTCAAGAAAGGAACTGATTTAATTTCAATTCGAAAGAGGCAGAATGTATCCAGGCGAGCGAAACAGCACCCCTCTGTCTCTCTGCGTGTAGGCCATCTATCTGATGCTGTCTGGTCCAAACGAGTATTACATAGTTGCCGCCCGTAGCATTGAAGGCAAGGGAAGCCAGCGATCATCTGGCCTCCCTTGACAAAAAAGTATTAAACTGAGTGAGCTCAACTGTGAATGTGAAACTCCTATCAAATCCCATTGAGAGCATATGTAATTGACAGAAAATCTTGAATTGTTGCATCTCGTTGTGTTGTTGTTCTTTGGTGGCTAGCTAGCCAGCTAGCTAAAATTGTCTCTTTCCTACATTAGCCATGGATGGAGATAGGGATTTGGACTTGTGATTTTATTAAGTCACTGTACTGGCCAATGATTATAACGGCGATTCTGATCCAACCATGAATTCATACATTGTTGTGCCCCTGGCCTGAGAGGATGGAAGTTCAATAAGTAGCTAGATGTAGAAGGCTAATGCTAACGTTGCCCATGAATGGAAGTTAGGCTAGCGAGCAAGCATTTTAGCCAGATAGCCTAGGACAACAGAAAGTAAAAGCATGTAATATATTACAGAGTGATAGACTGTTTCTTCAACATGAAACAGAGGAGGATGGCTGTCATGCCCTGACTCTGGGGACTCTTATTTGTTGAGTCAGGGTGTGACTTTCTATGTTGTGATGTTCTATGTTGTATTTTCTAGGTTTAGATCTAGTACGTCTAGATCTATGTTGGCCGGTGTGGTTCCCAATCAGAGGCAGCTGTCGCTCGTTGTCTCTGATTGGGGACCATACTTAGGCAGCCTATTGACACTTGTGGGTTGTGGGATCTTGTTCCGTGTTAGGTATGTTGTTTGTGTACCTTGGACTTCACGTTTCGTTTCTTGTTTTGTCGTTGTGTTTATAAGTCTAATAAACATGTATGCATATCACGCTGCGCCTTAGTCTGACCCGTTCATGAACGAACGTGACAGAAGTTCCCACCTTATGAGGACCAAGCAGCGTGCCCAGGAAGAGCAAATAGCCATGTCACAGGTGGGCAAATTGTGGTCATGGGAAGAGATATTCGCGGGGAAAGGGCCATGGGCGAAGGTAGATGCCCAGGCAGGAGAGGAGCAACGGCAATACAGAGGACGCCGGTCGAGGAGGAAGCCCGAGAGACAGTCCCAATAAAAAAATGTTTGGGGGCTAACAGGGTGGTTGGCGGAGCCTAGCGTTAGAGCAGAGCCAACTCCCGTACTCACGCGAGGAGGCGTGTGACTGGGCAGGCTCCGTGTTATGCGGAGCTACGTACTGTGTTGCCAGTGTGCCGGCACAGTCCTGTACGTCCTGTGCTAGCACCACACACGTGCCATGCGAAGATGGGCATCCAGCCAGGACGGGGTGTGCCGGCTCAACGCTCCTGGTCTCCAGTACGTCTCCTCGGTCCCGCATATCCTGCGCCGGTTCTACGAGCTGTATCGCCAGTACGCGTGCACAGCCCAGTGCGTCCTGTGCCAGCGCCCCACACGTGTAGTGCGAAAGTGGGTAGCCAGCCAGGACGGGTTGTGCCAGCTCTCCACTCATGACCTCCAGTCCGCCTTCGCAGTCCGGTCCGGCACGTTCCTGCTCCTCGCACCAAGCCAGTGGTGCACGTCGCCAGCCCGGCCCGTTCCTGCTCCTCGCACCAAGACAGTGGTGCGCGTCGCCAGCCCGGCCCGGCCCGGCCCGGCCTGTTCCTGCCCCTCGCACCAAGCCAGTGGTGCGCGTCGCCAGCCCGGCCCGGCCTGTTCCTGCCCCTCGCACCAAGCCAGTGGTAAGCGTCGCCAGCCCGGCCTGTTCCTGCCCCTCGCACCAAGCCAGTAGTGCGCGTCGCCAGCCCGGTCCGGCCTGTTCCTGTCACAACATGTGGGTTGTGGGATCGTGTTCCATGTTAGGTATGTTGTTTGTGTACCTTGGACTTCACGTTTCGTTTCTTGTTTTGTCGTTGTGTTTATAAGTCTAATAAACATGTATGCATATCACGCTGCGCCTTAGTCTGACCCGTTCATGAACGAACGTGACAATGGCATTGGCGTTTCTCTACCAGTAGGGTGAGTCAACATGTTTTTCTACTTGCACGAATGCGCACACACATACGCATGCACACAGAAATCAGAACCATGGACAGCCACATCATATTTAGCTTACGTTGATTGGATTAAATTGTTTTTGGTATCTTTAAGTTGTCTGTATTAGATTAAGCAGAGGTGATTTGACAATGTTGAAATGTTGAAGTTGAAATGGGGCTGGAATAGTGGAGGCAGCTCCTGTTTTCTAAATCAATAGTTGTTTAGTGGTCCGAAAATGTCAGAAACATTAACTTGCTTGACCATGCTGTAGGTCATGTAACTGTCTGTTACTGTACATGCAATATGCTTTGTGGACTTCACTTGATATAGGTTACTATCCGGTTTACTGCTAAAACCAAGGTGTGGTTGAATTTATTCTGCCACTGTGTCTTCTTATTGTCTCGGCCTTTAGGACTATATATTACGGTAGCAAGGCATATGAATTAACAGGTTATAGAGCAAACAACACAATTATCACAACACATAGGTTGTAATATGCCATTTTTTGGGAGGTGGAGGGGGGGCTTGGCTTCCCCAATGATTTTACCAACGCACCACTACTGCGTTTCAGCCCGGGTTAGTTTGTGTTTCACACATACTTCGTAGCGCGGATCAGGGTATACTACTAAATGCTCCAGGATCCGGATCATAAGAAGATATGTGAATGCGCCCTTATAGGTAATTTCCAAATGAGCAGACATAAGCAGCGTTTACCATGAATGCGTTCTCCAAAACGTGCAATGGTGACAAAGCGCAATCAGATTTAATACCTTTCTAAATCGGTTCATTTATACAACCACTTATGATTAAATGTTCTTTCTTTTCTAAATTGTTGTTTTGAATTGACCCCAACCCTGCATGAAATACACATAAATTCTATCGTCGGTAAGATGCAGAGTCAGTGGCTCCTGCGTGTCATTTCTGAACAGACAGGTTGGTGCAGCCATGGTGGTTGGAGGAGCTTCTGTTGGTTTATCTGAGAATGAGATGGAAAAATATCACATTAAGTGTAGCATTAGAGCATCAGAGCATTATGTAGGCTACTGTCAGGGATAATTGTTAAGCAAAAAAAAAGGTTGTTTTGTTTAAACTAACTACACAACATTCCTATGCAAGTGTGAGTCCAATTTGTATCTACTTTCTTTTTTACTTTGAAAAGATAATAGGCCTATGTCATTTTTACATGGTTGAATACATGAAAACCTACTCATATAAATATATTACATAAATATTAAATGAATAATGACGTATGAAAAACATAATAGGCCTACATACTACTGAAAAACCTTTTAGAAGACTGGCTTTACCTTTTGGTATGTCAACATATTGAGGGACCCCTTCATGCTCCACAGAACAGATGTATTTGTTCCTGTACGCCTTCTCTTTTTCAATGATGATCATACTGGTCGTCTGTCCTTCCTCCCTCTGCTCCAGCTCTTCCCTCTCTGCTTTGGGCACCTCCACTGTTCGGCCGTTTGCATCCTCCATCTCCCATGAGATCTTGACCAAGTCTGGAAACATGTCTCTAGCCAGACATAGCAGGGTGGTCTTCACATTTGGCTCAGGTTTGGATGCTGGGTAGACCGTCACTTTGGGTTTTTGTACGTGATTGTTGTCTGATTTTCAAGAGAAACAATAACATTTACAGTCTTCTTTAAAGGGACATCACACAGAAGTTTTCAGACTTCAGATGTAGTCTGTTGTCAAGATGAATCGTGATGTCCCACACCATTTGTTTTACATCCAGCTTTAATTACATACATGAATAAACTACATGTACACACGCACACACACACACAAACACATAAACACACAAAGAATAAGTTGGAACATGAAGCCTACAGCCAGGGTTCTAAATTAACTGTTTTCATTGGTAGCACTGGTGCTCCCAACTTAAAAAAGTTTGGAGCACAACACAAAAATTAGGAACACCAGAAAATAAGATTTTTTTTGGCATGTACAGTTGAAGTCGGAAGTTTACATACACCTTAGCCAAATACATTTAAACTCAGTTTTTCACAATTCCTGACATTTAATCCTAGTAAAAATTCACTGTCTTAGGTCAGTTAGGATCACCACTTTATTTTAAGAATGTGAAATGTCAGAATAAGTGTAGAGAGAATGATTTATTTCAGCTTTTATTTCTTTCATCATATTCCCAGTGGGTCAGAAGTTAACATACACTCAATTAGTATTTGGTAGCATTGCCTTTAAATTGTTTAACTTGGGTCAAACGTTTTGGGTAGCCTTCCACAAGCTTCCCACAATAAGTTGGGTGAATTTTGGCCCATTCCTCCTGACAGAACTGGTGTAACTGAGTCAGGTTTGTAGGCCTCCATGCTCGCACACACTTTTTCAGTTCTGCCCTCACATTTTCTATAGGATTGAGGTCAGGGCTTTGTGATGGACACTCCAATACCTTGACTTGATGTCCTGAAGCCATTTTGACACAACTTTGGAAGTATGCTTGGGGTCATTGTCCATTTGGAAGACCCATTTGCGACCAAGCTTTAACTTCCTGACTGATGTCTTGAGATGTTGCTTCAATATATCCACATAATTTTCCTTCCTCATGATGCCATCTATTTTGTGAAGTGCACCAGTCCCTCCTGCAGCAAAGCACCCACACAGCATGATGCTGCCACCCCCGTGCTTCACGGTTGGGATGGTGTTCTTCGGCTTGAAAGTTCCCCCTTTTTCCTCCAAACATATGATGGTCATTATGGCCAAACAGTTCTGTTTTTGTTTCATCAGACCAGAGCACATTTCTCCAAAAAGTACGATCTTTGTCCCCATGTGCAGTTGCAACCCGTAGTCTGGCTTTTTAATGGCGGTTTTGGAGCAGTGGCTTCTTCCTTGCTGAGCGACCTTTCAGGTTATGTTGATATAGGACTTGTTTTACTGTGGATATAGATACTTTTGCACCTGTTTCCTCCAGCATCTTCACAAGGTCCTTTGCTGTTGATCTGGGATTGATTTGCACTTTTCGCACCAAAGTACGTTAATCTCTAGAACGCGTCTCCTTCCTGAGCGGTATGACAGCTGCTCGGTCCCATGGTGTTTATACTTGCGTACTATTGTTTGTACAGATGAACGTGGTACCTTCGGGCATTTGCAAATTGCTCCCAAGGATGAACCAGACTTGTGGAGGTCTACAATATTTTTTCTGAGGTCTTGGCTGATTTCTTTTGATATTTCCATGATGTCAAGGATAGAGGCACTGAGTTTGAAGGTAGGCCTTGAGATACATCCACAGGTACACCTCCAATTGACTCAAATTATGTCAATTAGCCTATCAGAAGCTTCTAAAGCCATGACATAATTTTCTGGAATTTTCCAAGCTCTTTAAAGGCAAAGTGAACTTAGTGTATGTAAACTTCTGACCCACTGGAATTGTGATACAGTGAATTATAAGTGAAATAATCTGTCTGTAACAATTGTTGGAAAAATTACTTGTGTTATGCACAAAGTAGATGTCCTAACCGACTTGCCAAAACTATAGTTTGTTAACAAGAAATGTGTGGAGTGGTTGAAAAACTAGTTTTATTTACTCCAACCTAAGTGTATGTAAACTTCCGGATTCAACTGTACATTTCCAGTCAAAAGTTTGGACACACCTACTTATTCAAGGGTTATTCATAATTTTTTCTATTTTTTACATTGTAGAAAAAAAGTGAAGACATCAAACTATGAAATAACACTTATGGAATCATGTAGTAACCCAACAACTGTTAAACAAATCAAACAATATTTTGTATTTGAGATTCTTCAAATAGCCACCCTTTCCCTTTTTTGACAGCTTTACACACGCTTGGCATTCTCTCAACCAGCTTCATCTGGAATGCTTTTCCAACAGTCTTGAAGGACCTGCATTTCATTCCGATAAGTTGGCACTCTCTTATTCCTCCTTGCAGATCAGAGACAACTGAGTAGGTGTAAGAAAGAGTGCCCGATTTCTGCCATGTATCTTTTCTTGTACCAGTAGCCCTACACTGGCTGAAAACGTTGCAGTTGAAGGAGACACTCTTTCCCTCTCTCCTATTCTTTCCTGTGTAGGGCTCTGATGAAGGTTGACTGACCGAAAGCTCTGCTACTATTAAAGGGGAATTTCACCCTGGCTGTGCCACGGCATATAGTCATTACTATATTAACAACATTATGTTTTTATCATAAACATCACAATTATCTAAACCACAAGCTAGAACTTGCACATTTTCTTTTGAATGGTAGAATTGGGAAGTTTCGACTCCCTGTGTATTCGTCTGCTCATAGTGAACCACAAAGTCCGGCATTCATAGCGAATGCTGATACCACCCGCAAGGTAGAGAGGGCGTGTCCACAAACTTGAATAATGGCGTTGTTTACTTCGAACGACCAACACACAGTAATCTCAGAACTTCTCTAGGGAAGATTTTTTTGAAAACATTAGTTTTTCACATATTTTCGTCATCAAGCCTGTGTGGTGTTCTGTGCCTGGCTGTGCTAATTACAAACAAGCTTAAAAATGAGTTATCTTTCACCGTTCTACATACCAGCGATTCACCCCGATTCTGCTAGTGGCTTGCGGCAATCAAGATTGATGCAGTGAACAAAGATTATCAGATGGAATCCATTTTGACGACAGCTGTGAAGTGATGCGATACTATCAACTTTTTTTCCTTCACAACAAAACATAAGATTCTCAATTAGTGGTAACATAATGTTAGCTAGCTTGCTAGCCTAGCTGGACTAGCTGAGTAAGTTAGCTAGCTGGTTAACATTACAGTTCTGTATTGAACTTTGAAAGCCATCAGCTAAATCATACAGTGGGGAAAAAAAGTATTTTTTAAATACTGCATTCTTTAAAAAAAAATGCATTCTTTAAAAAAAATAAAAAATTATACTGGCCCCCCGTGGGAATTGAACCCACAACCCTGGCGTTGCAAACGCCATGCTCTACCAACTGAGCTACATCCCTGTCCACGATACATGGCCCCATTCATTCTTTCCTTTACACGGATCAGTCGTCCTGGTCCCTTTGCAGAAAAACAGCCCCAAAGCATGACGTTTCCACCCCCATGCTTCACAGTAGGTATGGTGTTCTCTGGATGCAACTCAGCATTCTTTGTCCTCCAAACACGACGAGTTTAGTTTTTACCAAAAAGTTATATTTTGGTTTCATCTGACCATATGACATTCTCCCAATCCTCTTCTGGATCATCCAAATGCACTCTAGCAAACTTCAGATGGGCCTGGACATGTACTGGCTTAAGCAGGGGGACACATCTGGCACTGCAGGATTTGAGTCCCTGGCGGCGTAGTGTGTTACTGATGGTAGGCTTTGTTACTTTGGTCCCAGCTCTCTGCAGGTCATTCATTAGGTCCCCCCGTGTGGTTCTGGGATTTTTGCTCACCGTTCTTGTGATCATTTTGACCCCACAGGGTGAGATCTTGCGTGGAGCCCCAGATCGAGGGAGATTATCTGTGGTCTTGTATGTCTTCCATTTCCTAATAATTGCTCCCACAGTTGATTTCTTCAAACCAAGCTGCTTACCTATTGCAGATTCAGTCTTCCCAGCCTGGTGCAGGTCTACAATTTTATTTCTGGTGTCCTTTGACAGCTCTTTGGTCTTGGCCATAGTGGAGTTTGGAGTATGACTGTTTGAGGTTGTGGACAGGTGTCTTTTATACTGATAACAAGTTCAAACAGGTGCCATTAATACAGGTAACGAGTGGAGGACAGAGGAGCCACTTAAAGAAGAAATTACAGGTCTGTGAGAGCCAGAAATCTTGCTTGTTTGTAGGTGACCAAATACTTATTTTCCACCATAATTTGCAAATAAATTCATAAAAAATCCTACAATGTGATTTTCTGGATTTTTTTTCTCATTTTGTCTGTCATAGTTGACGTGTACCTATGATGAAAATTACAGGCCTCTCTCATCTTTTTAAGTGGGAGAACTTGCACAATTGGTGGCTGACTAAATACTTTTTTCCCCCCACTGTATATATACACACATAAATACATACATATACATACATGCATACATATATACATACATATATATTTCCCTTTATTACTTTCCAACCCCACCACCACTTCCCCAATTGGAGTAAACTAGTGAACAACAATGCTTAGGCCTCTACTTTCAGCTTATACATGTGTGGTATGTTTTCTAGGTTTAGATCTAGATCGTCTAGATCTATGTTGGCCGGTGTGGTTCCCAATCAGAGGCAGCTGTCGCTCGTTGACTCTGATTGGGGACCATACTTAGGTAGCCTATTGACACTAGTGGGTTGTGGGATCTCGTTCCAGTTAAGGTATGTTGTGTTGTGCTGCCTTGGACTTCACGTTTTGTCTGTTGTTTATTCCTTTAAATAAACATGTATGCATATCACGCTGCGCCTTGGTCTGACCCGTCTGTAAACGAACGTGACAGCTATTCCTGGACCTGTGTCCAGAAACAAGCTACAAATGGACAGTACCAAAACAAATGATCTAATGATTCTGTCTCTTCGCAGCAAAATCTGCAGAGCTGGGAAGATTGTATCCCCAATATGAATAACATTCTATTGGTAGCAAGAAATGTATATAATAATTTAAATTGAAAAATTCTAAGTTTTGAATCCGGCGTCATTTTGCATATTTGCATATCAGTTCATAAACACTATGCCATGGGATCGGTATGTCAAAAATCTCTTCCCAACTATTTTGCAATCTATATGGGACGGCTGTCAATCCTTTGGTCCTTAAATGAAACTGGTATACTTTTTTTATTTATCACAGTTTTCTTTAACCTATTATGTTCTTTAATGCAAGGCCGACAGACAAGTTCCTTACTTTTTCCCCCTTCCAGTTTCCTCTTCCATTTTTGCAGTAATGCTGCAATTATTTGGTTGTAATTTTGGGTAGAGCAGACATTTCCATATGTTTTTGTTAGCTGCATGTGCGACATAACTACACCAGTTGTCATGTGGTGAGGTGTATGTGGTGTGGAAGTCAGGCGCAGGACACCGAGGCTCAGTCCAACAGAGATTACTTAATACTCCAAAAGGAAACGGTAAACAAACTACCTCAAAAACAATATGAGGCGAGCATTTACGCAAACAGCGTAAAACACTAAAACAACAAACAAGAAACAAAACACGCAGCACAACGACAGGCGAACAACAACACACAATCTAACTCACACAAAACAGGGAACTTATAGGACACGTAATTAGGACACAAACAGACACAGGTGTACCAGACAGACCAAAGCAATCAACACACGAAACATACAACGGTGGCAGCTAGTATTCCGGGGACGACGAACGCCGAAGCCTGCCCGAACCAGGAGGAGGAGCAGCCTCGGCCGAAACCGTGACACCAGTCCTACCTATGATATCATTTACGAAGATTACACCTTTTTTAAACATATTTTCAAAAAATTATGTTTTCTTTATCAATTAGTATATTTGAGTTTAACCACAATATTTGTTGCATTATTTGTTCTGTCGTTTCTGGAGGATTAAATTGAAATTGCAACCAACTTTCTATGGCTTGTTTTAGAAATAGTGATATTTGGGAGATAATTTCCTTTTCAAATAACTGAAAGTGAGAGGTTGTAATCTGAATAAAGGGAAAAAGGCAATTCTTGAACATTGGGTGAGACAATCTTACTAATTTGCTAGAGAACCAGTTCGCATTTAAGTATAACTTTTGTATGACTGAAGCTTCTAGTGATAGGTCTAATGCTTTAATATTTAATAATTTCTGTCCTCGGAAATCATATTCATTTAATTTTGTCTGGCTTGCCGTTCCAACTAAAATGGAATATTGTTTTCTCATAGAATTTTAAAAAACTGTTTGCTAGGCGTAGGCAAGACCATAAGCACATAGGTAAACTGGGATAATACTAAAGAGTTAATCAGGGTGATTTTTGTATTGGAGAGAGATCATTTAATTCAGTTGGGATATGTATTCCGAGTATATCCACATCACCATCAGACCATTTTATTGGTAATGTAAAATGGTTATTTTTTAGTGTACCAATACGTAATATAGTACATTTATCATAATTTGTTTATAATCCAGAGAGGTTAGAAAATGTATCTAGATCCTCTATGAGGCTGTGGAGGGATTCAAGTTGTGTATTTTAAAGAAAACATGAATCATCAGCATACAATGACACCTTTGTTTTTAAGACCTGGACTTCTAATCTCTTGATATTATTGTTGGATCTGATTTTAATAGCTAACATCTCGATGGCCATAATAAATAGATATGCAGATAGTGGACAACCTTGTTTCACTCCTCTTGACAGTTTAAAACTTTCTGTTTGATTATTGGAGATTCAGATTTGTTTCCTCAGACAAAATCATCACAATAAGCAAAGTATAAACAGACACAACCTTCCCAAATGTCCTCGATAGCCAGGTGCAAGGGGAGAGAAAAGGACCAAAATGCTTCTTTCAAAGGTAGGCTAAAAATAATTTTTACTGTAATAACCTCATATTTGACCCTTCGGCCATCAGTGCATCATAGGCCTGTTAAAACTAGGCTACATCAATGAAATAGTGTGTAGTATGAAAATGTATGCACTCACTAACTGTAAGTCGCTCTGGATAAGAGCGTCTGCTAAAATGACAAATGTAAAAATGTGACTGAGGGAACATTGAGTTGATTAAATTGCAACAAATACAATAAGAACCCTTTAGATTGTGCATATTTCTCCATTTAGAGTGGTATAATCATGTCAGATGTTATTTGCTGGTATTATATGCTTTTAAATAGCACTTTTGGTTTGAACGGGAAAATCGGGAAACCCGGTAATTTCTAGCAATTTCGTCAGGAAGGAAAATTGGTAGATTCTCTGGACAATATATGGCCAATGGGGCCTATGCCTACCCTCCTCCCCCAGCCAATGGGATGAACTCCGCGGGACAGAGTACTCCTACCATGTACGGACGAGACATGGAGACAACTGTTCCTTTAATGTTTTGACGAGGAATAAAATACCCAAGAATAAAGCTATATACAAGGAGTACCAGTTCCAGATCAATGTGCAGGGTTACAAGGTATTTGAGGTAGATATTTGTACCCATTAGCTGCTGCCAAGGCAGCAGTTACTCTTCCTGGGGTCCGGCAAAATTAATTTTAAAAACAGTACAATACATTCATAACAGAATTCACAACACACTAAGTGTGTGTCCTCAGGCCCATACTCCACTACCACATACAGTGGGGAAAAAAAGTATTTAGTCAGCCACCAATTGTGCAAGTTCTCCCACTTAAAAAGATGAGAGAGGCCTGTAATTTTCATCATAGGTACACGTCAACTATAACAGACAAATTGAGGAAAACAAATTCAGAAAATCACATTGTTGGATTTTTAATGAATTTATTTGCAAATTATGGTGGAAAATAAGTATTTGGTCACCTACAAACAAGTAAGATTTCTGGCTCTCACAGACCTGTAACTTCTTCTTTAAGAGGCTCCTCTGTCCTCCACTCGTTACCTGTATTAATGGCACCTGTTTGAACTTGTTATCAGTATAAAAGACACCTGTCCACAACCTCAAACAGTCACACTCCAAACTCCACTATGGCCAAGACCAAAGAGCTGTCAAAGGACACCAGAAACAAAATTGTAGACCTGCAGAGACTGAATCTGCAATAGGTAAGCAGCTTGGTTTGAAGAAATCAACTGTGGGAGCAATTATTAGGAAATGGAAGACATACAAGACCACTGATAATCTCCCTCGATCTGGGGCTCCACGCAAGATCTCACCCCGTGGGGTCAAAATGATCACAAGAACGGTGAGCAAAAATCCCAGAACCACACGGGGGGACCTAGTGAATGACCTGCAGAGAGCTGGGACCAAAGTAACAAAGCCTACCATCAGTAACACACTACGCCGCCAGGGACTCAAATCCTGCAGTGTTAGACGTGTCCCCCTGCTTAAGCCAGTACATGTCCAGGCCCGTCTGAAGTTTGCTAGAGTGCATTTGGATGATCCAGAAGAGGATTGGGAGAATGTCATATGGTCAGATGAAACCAAAATAGAACTTTTTGGTAAAAACTCAACTCGTCGTGTTTGGAGGACAAAGAATGCTGAGTTGCATCCAAAGAACACCATACCTACTGTGAAGCATGGGGGTGGAAACATCATGCTTTGGGGCTGTTTTTCTGCAAAGGGACCAGGACGACTGATCCGTGTAAAGGAAAGAGTGAATGGGGCCATGTATCGTGAGATTTTGAGTGAAAACCTCCTTCCATCAGCAAGGGCATTGAAGATGAAACGAGGCTGGGTCTTTCAGCATGACAATGATCCCAAACACACCACCCGGGCAACGAAGGAGTGGCTTCGTAAGAAGCATTTCAAGGTCCTGGAGTGGCCTAGCCAGTCTCCAGATCTCAACCCCATAGAAAATCTTTGGAGGGAGTTGAAAGTCTGTGTTGCCCAGCGACAGCCCCAAAACATCACTGCTCTAGAGGAGATCTGCATGGAGGAATGGGCCAAAATACCAGCAACAGTGTGTGAATACCTTGTGAAGACTTACAGAAAACGTTTGACCTGTGTCATTGCCAACAAAGGGTATATAACAAAGTATTGAGAAACTTTTGTTATTGACCAAATACTTATTTTCCACCATAATTTGCAAATAAATTCATTAAAAATCCTACAATGTGATTTTCTGGAATTATTTTTCTCATTTTGTCTGTCATAGTTGACGTGTACCTATGATGAAAATTACAGGCCTCTCTCATCTTTTTAAGTGGGAGAATTTGCACAATTGGTAGCTGACTAAATACTTTTTTTCCCCACTGTATCTACAACACAAAATCCATGTGTACGTGTTTGTATAGTGTGTATGTTATCATGTGTGTGTATGCATGTGTCTGTGCCTATGTTTGTGTTGCTTCACAATCCCCGCTATTCCATAAGGTGTCTTTTTATAAATTTAAAAAAAATTGATTATACTGCTTGCATCAGTTACCTGATGTGGAATAGAGTTCCATGTAGTCATTGCTCTATGTAGTCCTGTGCGCTTCCCATAGTCGCTTCCCATAGTCTGTTCTGGACTTGGGGACTGTGAAGAGACCTTTGGTGGAATGTTTTGTGGGGAATGCATGGGTATCTGAGCTGTGTGCAACTCGTTTAAACAGACAGCTCGGCGCTTTCAACATGTTAATACCTCTCACAAATAAAAGTAGACGAATACAAGATGAATGGCACGTCAATGGGCCTCAGGACCTCGTCACGGTATCTCTGTGCATTCAAATTGCCATCGATAAAATGCAATAGTGTTTGTTGTCTGTAGCTAAAGAAAAAGCCATATCTCCAACTGCCCATCTTAATCTTTAATTTTTATTGGCCAGTCTGAGATATGGCTTTTTCTTTGCAACTCTACCTAAAAGGTCAGCATCCCGGAGTCACCTCTTCACTGTTGATGTTGAGACTGGTGTTTTGCGGGTACTATTTAATGAAGCTTGCCAGTTGAGGACCTGTTAGGCGTCTGTTTCTCAAACTACACACTCTAATGTATTTGTCCTCTTGCTCAGTTGTGCACTGGGGCCTCCCACTCCTCTTTCTATTCTGGTTAGAGCCAGTTTGCGCTGTTCTGTGAAGGGAGTAGTCAAATCAAATCAAATCAAATTGTATTGGTCACATGCGCCGAATACAACAGGTGCAGACATTGCAGTGAAATGCTTACTTACAGCCCTTAACCAACAGTGCATTTATTTTAAACAAAAAAAGTAAGAATAAAACAACAACAAAAAAAGTGTTGAGAAAAAAAGAGCAGAAGTAAAATAAAGTGACATTAGGGAGGCTATATATACAGTAAAATAAAGTGACAGTAGGGAGGCTATATATACAGGGGGGTACCGTTGCAGAGTCAATGTGCGGGGGCACCGGCTAGTTGAGGTAGTTGAGGTAATATGTACATGTGGGTAGAGTTAAAGTGACTATGCATAAATACTTAACAGAGTAGCAGCAGCGTAAAAAGGATGGGGTGGGGGGGCAGTGCAAATAGTCCGGGTAGCCATGATTAGCTGTTCAGGAGTCTTATGGCTTGGGGGTAGAAGCTGTTGAGAAGTCTTTTGGACCTAGACTTGGCACTCCGGTACCGCTTGCCGTGCGGTAGCAGAGAGAACAGTCTATGACTAGGGTGGCTGGAGTCTTTGACAATTTTGAGGGCCTTCCTCTGACACCGCCTGGTATAGAGGTCCTGGATGGCAGGGAGCTTTGCCCCAGTGATGTACTGGGCCGTACGCACTACCCTCTGTAGTGCCTTGCGGTCAGAGGCCAAGCAGTTGCCATACCAGGCGGTGATGCAACCAGTCAGGATGCTCTCGATGGTGCAGCTGTAGAATTTTTTGAGGATCTGAGGACCCATGCCAAATCTTTTTAGTCTCCTGAGGGGGAATAGGCTTTGTCGTGCCCTCTTCACGACTGTCTTGGTGTGTTTGGACCATGATAGTTCGTTGGTGATGTGGACACCAAGGAACTTGAAGCTCTCAACCTGTTCCACTACAGCCCCGTCGATGAGAATGGGGGCGTGCTCAGTCCTCTTTTTTTTCCTGTAGTCCACAATCATCTCCTTTGTCTTGGTCACGTTGAGGGAGAGGTTGTTGTCCTGGCACCACACGGCCAGATCTCTGACCTCCTCCCTATAGGCTGTCTCATCGTTGTCAGTGATCAGGCCTACCACTGTTGTGTCGTCGGCAAACTTAATGATGGTGTTGGAGTCGTGCCTGGCCATGCAGTCATGGGTGAACAGAGAGTACAGGAGGGGACTGAGCACGCACCCCTGAGGGGCCCCCGTGTTGAGGATCAGTGTGGCAGATGTGTTGTTACCTACCCTTACCACCTGGGGGCGGCCCGTCAGGAAGTCCAGGATCCAGTTGCAGAGGGAGGTGTTTAGTCCCAGGATCCTTAGCTTAGTGATGAGCTTAGAGGGCACTATGGTGTTGAATGCTGAGCTGTAGTCAATGAATAGCATTCTCACGTCGGTGTTCCTCTTGTCCAGGTGGGAAAGGGCAGTGTGGAGTGCGATAGAGATTGCATCATCTGTGGATCTGTTGGGGCGGTATGCAAATTGGAGTGGGTCTAGGGTTTCTGGGATTATGCTGTTGATGTGAGCCATGACCAGTCTTTCAAAGCACTTCATGGCTACAGACGTCAGTGCTACGGGTCGGTAGTCATTTAGGCAGGTTATCTTAGAGTTCTTGGGCACGGGGACTATGGTGGTCTGCTTGAAACATGTTGGTATTACAGACTCAGTCAGGGACATGTTGAAAATGTCAGTGAAGACACTTGCCAGTTGGTCAGCACATGCTCGGAGTACACGTCCTGGTAATCCGTCTGGCCCTGCGGCCTTGTGAATGTTGACCTGCTTAAAAGTCTTACTCACATCGGCTACGGAGAGCGTGATCACATAGTCATCCGGAACAGCTGGTGCTCTCATGCATGCTTCAGTGTTGCTTGCCTCGAAGCGAGCATAGAAGTGGTTTAGCTCGTCTGGTAGGCTTGTGTCACTGGGCAGCTCGCGGCTGTGCTTCCCTTTGTAGTCTGTAATAGTTTTCAAGCCATGCCACATCCGACGAGCGTCAGAGCCAGTGTAGTATGATTCAATCTTAGACCTGTATTGACTCTTTGCCTGTTTGATGGTTCGTCGGAGGTCATAGCGGGATTTCTTATAAGCATCCGGGTTAGAGTCCCATTCCTTGAAAGCGGCAGCTCTACCCTTTAGCTCAGTGTGGATGTTTCCTGTAATCCATGGCTTCTGGTTGGGGTATGTACGTACGGTCACTGTGGGGACGACATCATCGATGCACTTATTGATGAAGCCAGTGACTGATGTGGTGTACTCCTCAATGCTGTCTGAAGAATCCCGGAACATGTTCCAGTCTGTGCTAGCAAAACAGTCCTGTAGCTTAGCATCTGCGTCATCTGACCACTTTTTTAATAACCCAATCACTGGTGCTTCCTGCTTCAGTTTTTGCTTATAAGCAGGAATCAGGAGGATAGAGTTTTGGTCAGATTTGCCAAATGGAGGGCGAGGGAGAGCTTTGTATGCGTCTCTGTGTGTGGAGTAAAGGTGGTCTAGAGTTTTTTTCCCTCTGGTTGCACATTTAACATGCTGGTAGAAATTAGGTAGAACGGATTTAAGTTTCCCTGCATTAAAGTCCCCGGCCACTAGGAGCGCTGCATCTGGATGAGCGTTTTCCTGTTGATTAATGGCCTTGTACAACTCATTCAGTGCAATCTTAATGCCAGCATTGGTTTGTGGTGGTAAATAGACAGCTATGAAAAATATAGATGAAAACTCTCTTGGTAAATAGTGTGGTCTACAGCTTATCATAAGATACTCTACCTCAGGCGAGCAAAACCTCAAGACTTCCTTAGTATTTGATTTTGTGCACCAGCTGTTGTTTACAAATATACAGAGACCGCCACCCCTTGTCTTACCAGAGTCAGATGTTCTGTCCTGCCGATGTAGCGTATAGCCTGCTAGCTGAATGTTATCATTGTTGTCGTTCAGCCACGACTCCGTGAAACATAAGATATTACAGTTTTTAATGTCCCGTTGGTAGGATAACCGTAATCTTAAATCGTCCATTTTATTCTCAAAAGCTTGAACGTTGGCTAATAGGATTGATGGGAGAGGCAGTTTACTCGCTCGCCGTCGGATCCTTACAAGGCACCCGGATCTGCGTCCGCGATATCTCCGTCTCTTCCTCACGCGAATGACGGGGATCTGGGCCTTGTCGGGTGTCTGTAGGATATCCATCGCGACCGCCTCGTTGAAGAAAAAATCTTCGTCCAATGCGAGGTGAGTAATCACTGTCCTGATATCCAGAAGCTCTTTTTGGTTATAAGAGACGATGGCAGAAACATTATGTACAAAATAAATTACAAATAACGCGGAAAAACACACATAATAGTACAATTGGTTAGAGGGCTGTAAAACGGCAGCCATCTTCTCCGGCGCTGTTCTGCGTGGTACACAGCGTTGTACGAGATCTTCAGTTTCTTGGCAATTTCTCGCATGGAATAGCCTTCATTTCTCAGAACAAGAATAGACTGACGAGTTTCAGAAGAAAGTTCTTTGTTTCTGGCCATTTTGAGCCTGTAATCGAACCCACAATTGCTGATGCTCCAGATACTCAACTAGTCTCAAGAAGGCTAGTTTTATTGCTTCTTTAATCAACACAACAGTTTTCAGCTGTGCTAACATAATTGAAAAAGGGTTTTCTAATGATCAATTAGCCTTTTAAAATGATAAACTTGGATTAGCAAACACAACGTGCCATTGGAACACAGGACTGAAGGTTGCTGACAATGGGCCTCTGTACGCCTATGTAGATATTCCATAAAAAATCAGCCGTTTCCAGCTACATTAGCCATTTACAACATTAACAATGTCTACACTGTATTTCTGATCAATTTGATGTGATTTTAATGGACAAAAAATTGATTTTTTTCAAAAACAAGGACATTTCTAAGTGACCCCAAACTTTTGAACGGTAGTGTATGTATGTATGCATGCATGCATGCATGTATGTATGTATATACAGTGAGGGAAAAAAGTATTTGATCCCCTGCTGATTTTGTTTGTTTGCCCACTGAAAAAGAAATGATCAGTCTATAATTTTAATGGTAGGTTTATTTGAACAGTGAGGGACAGAATAACAACAACAAAATCCAAAAAAACGCATGTCAAAAATGTTATAAATTGATTTGCATTTTAATGAGGGAAATAAGTATTTGACCCCTCTCAATCAGAAAGATTTCTGCCTCCCAGGTGTCTTTTATACAGGTAACGAGCTGAGATTGGGAGCACAATTTTAAAGGGAGTGCTCCTAATCTCAGTTTGTTACCTGTATAAAAGACACCTGTCCTCAGAAGCAATCAATCAATCAGATTCCAAACTCTCCACCATGGCCAAGACCAAAGAACACTCCAAGGATGTCAGGGACAAGATTGTAGACCTACACAAGGCTGGAATGGGCTACAAGACCATCACCAAGCAGCTTGTTGAGAAGGTGATAACAGTTGGTGGGATTATTCGCAAATGGAAGAAACACAAAAGGGCTGTCAATCTCCCTCGGCCCAGGGCTCCATGCAAGATCTCACCTCGTGGAGTTGCAAAGATCATGAGAACGGTGAGGAATCAGCCCAGAACTACACGGGAGGATCTTGTCAATGATTTCAAGGCAGCTGGGACCATAGTCACCAAGAAAACAATTGGTAACACACTACGCCATGAAGGACTGAAATCCTGCAGTGCCCGTAAGGTCCCCCTGCTCAAGAAAGCACATATACAGGCCCGTCTGAAGTTTGCCAATGAACATCTGAATGATTCAGAGGAGAACTGGGTGAACGTGTTGTGGTCATATGAGACCAAAATCGAGCTCTTTGGCATCAACTCAACTCGCCGTGTTTGGAGGAGAAGGAATGCTGCCTATGACCCCAAGAACACCATCCCCACCGTCAAACATTATGCTTTGGGGGGGAGTTTCTGCTAAGGGGACAGGACAACTTCACCGCATCAAAGGGACGATGGACGGGGCCATGTACCGTCAAATCTTGGGTGAGAACCTCCTTCCCTCAGCCAGGGCATTGAAAATGGGTCGTGGATGGGTATTCCAGCTTGACAATGACCCAAAACACACGGCCAAGGCAACAAAGGAGTGGCTCAAGAAGAAGCACATTAAGGTCCTGGAGTGGCCTAGCCAGTCTCCAGACCTTAATCCCATAGAACATCTGTGGAGGGAGCTGAAGGTTTGAGTTGCCAAACGTCAGGCTCGAAACCTTAATGACTTGGAGAAGATCTGCAAAGAGGAGTGGGACAACATCCCTCCTGAGATGTGTGCAAACCTGGTGGCCAACTACAAGAAACGTCTGACCTCTGTGATTGCCAACAAGGGTTTTGCCACCAAGTACTAAGTCATGTTTTGCAGGGGGGTCAAATACTTATTTCCCTCATTAAAATGCAAATCAATTCATAACATTTTTTACATGCGTTTTCTGGATCTTTTTGTTGTTATTCTGTCTCTCACTCTTCAAATAAACCTACCATTAAAATTATAGACTGATCATGTCTTTGTCAGTGGGCAAACGTACAAAATCAGCAGGGGATCAAATACTTTTTCCCTCACTGTATATATATATATATACACAGTACCAGTGAAAAGTTTGGACACACCTACAAATTCAAGGGTTTTTCTTTATTTTTTACTATTTTCTACATTGTAGAATAATAGTGAAGACATCAAAACTATGAAATAACACATATGGAAGACCGGTGACGTAGACCTCCGGAGCTGGTGAACGGAATGAGCAGCAGTTCCGGGGGGTTCCGTGACAACCTGTTAATTGAAATGCATTCCAGGTGACTCCCTCATGAAGCTGGTTGAGAGAATGCCAAGAGTGTGCAAAGCTGTCATTAAAGCAAACGGTGGCTACTTTGAAGAATCTCAAATATAAAATATATTTGGATTTGTTTAACACTTTTTTGGTTACTACATGATTCCATATGTTTTTTCATAGTTTTTGATGTCTTCACTATTATTCTACATTGTAGAAAATAAAGAAAAACCCTTGAATGAGTATGTGTCCAAACGTTTGACTGGTACTGTATATAAACATACATACACTGAGTGCACAAAACATTAGGAACACCTCGCTAATATTGAGTTGCACCCCCTTTTGCCCTTAGAACAGCCTCAATTCATTGGGGCATGGACTCTACATGGTGTCGAAAGCATTCCACAGGGATGCTGACCCATGTTGACTCCAATGCTTCCCACAGTTCTGTAAGTTGGCTGGATGTCCTTTGGGTGGTGACAATTCTTGATGCCCACAGGAAACCCAGCAGCCTGGCACCTACTACAATACCCCATTCAAAGGCACTTCAATATTTTGTCTTGCCCAGTCACCCTCAGAATGGCACACATACACAATCCATGTCTCAATTGTCTCAAGGCTTAAAAATCCTTCTTTAACCTGTTTCCTCCCCTTCATGTACACTGATTTAAGTGGATTTAACAGGTGAGATCAATAGGGAATCATAGCTTTCACCTGGATTCCCCTGGTCATTACATGTAGCCATCGCAGTGCTATTCTATACCGTCGAAGTACAGTTCTAGGGCATTGTATATACCATATGTAGGTCATATGGACTTCATCCACAACGATTCCGATGATTTTGGAGCTGTATAGGACTGAGGCCAATTCATCTGTCCCAGTCTTCCCCAACCATCTCTCTGGACATCCGAAGACAAGATTGCATACACCTTCCCATATAGCGTTCTTGTCTTTCTCCACAACCACCGCTCTGAGACCCAGTGCTGTTGCCCCACAGATTTGGTTGTCCGTCCACCACAACCATTAGAGTGGACACGACTGTCAGAATTGGAGGCAGTTTTCCTAGCTTCTTGAAGATCTGAACTAGCTAGCTAACTGGTAAATTAGGCTTTCCCCAAAAGCCCGTTGGCAAGACCGCCAATACATCCTCCCCTCGCACAAAGGCTCGAAATGTTTCAAGTTGCTCCTTCTAATTAAATCCCTACATTGGTCGTTACTAGGTGGCAGTGTCGTCTCTCTATCTCCTTTTCAGAAAGCTCCATCACAGTTTTTTCTCCCCACAGTTTTAGTTAGCAGCCTAACTTTAGCTTAGCTCATTTACCTCTCTAGTGGGGTCGTAGCAAATTGACGAGGAACACTGCAAATACACACCAAAAATCAACAGGTAAGGTAGCACGGCGGACTGAAGATGGCGGTGCAAAATGCCTCGTGAAAAAGCTTAGAAATGAATGTCCCTAAAACTGACTAAATAATACTACTTTTACGCTGATCTGCCCACTTGTGGGCAACAACATCCAAACTGGGTAATAACTCAAAACAACTTGTAAGGCTAGAGAATTTTATTGACAAACACTACCAACGCAGTCAACACTAAAACATGGCGGAGAGTAAACACGGAAAGAATGGAAAACCAAACTCTAAAAGAAAACTAAGGGACTCTTTGACTGACAAGGATTACTTATTTTCACCACCCTCTATCGTAAGTGTGGAAACCAAACTGCTCAAATCTATAAATGATAAATTAGGCGTGCTTGAGTTAGTCAGTAAAGATATACAAGAGATGAAGGCGAGCCTTGAAATGAGTGATGAGAAAGCCGCAACACTGGAAAAATAAACAAAAACGCCGAAGGGTACTGTCAATGTTATCGAAGCTGACGCTAATTAACTTAAAAAAGAGAACAAGTTGTTAAGATAATCCCTACTTGATATATAGACTAGATTAATGCGCAATAATCTGGTGCTTACTGTAATTAAAGAGGATCAAAGTGACAATCCGGAGAGTAAGGACTCCCATTGCAGCACCATGGACAGCGGCACTGGCTGCAGCACAGTGGAAAGTGACACTCAGTTCATCACTGTGGAAGGCTGCACTACCTTCATCACCAGGCCAGCCGACGACAGCGCCACAGGTCTGCTCAATCAACACACCTATGCAGGATAAATAATCAGCACAACTGCAAGTCATATTTTAATCAACTGACTGGCAGAAGAGTGCAGACTCACTCAAGTGGAGCAGTTAGGAAGACACAGTCAGAGCGTGCCTACTCTCTACTTACACTGTGTTTCTCTCTCCTTCCACAGACTCCTCAGGAGAGATACGTACTCTGCCTATGATGCCACACCGCCACCGACGCAATAGACTACAGTTGGCCGCCATCTTTAACCACCCTCTTGCCTGAACAGCTTGTGGACTACAGCGCCAGAGACACAAAGCTAAAGTAAAACCATTTGAAACTCTTTTGTTGTGTGTTTACTCATTGCCGCTTGTCAACAACAACAATTAATAAAGAAGCTATAAATACACTACTGTATACTATTAAAGTTAAGGAATGTTGTAAAAATAGTTTGTATTCTATGTTTTATGTATAGTATTTATAAATAGATAAAAGATAGCCAATTCATGAAATAATGAATCCCCAAATACAAGGAACTGGAACACAAAAGTACCCAAAACCCGAAATTAAACAGGAATCAACAAGGTAGAAATAAAAACACTAACAGAGGACACAAAAGGCACAGTATGTGGGTATGTACGGGTGTATGCAGGGGGAGTGCAGGTGTGTTGGAAGATGGGGTGCCTGTGTGTTTTGTGTAATTGGAAAAGTGGGATGAGTTAAGTGAGTGAGTAAGGGAAATGGATACAAATGCCAGAGCCCATGTGTGTCTGCGAGAGTCTTCACCTTTGCACAGATATTAATAACATTGCAAATATATAGCTTTAATGTTTTGTCCTATCATGATGGAATGGTGCCAACCCTATATCCTAGACAACCACCTGAGTTACCCACCCACTAAGGAGAAGTCCTTAACCGTTTTATTGGCCTACTGCAAGTAGCCTACGCAGCCATGACAGAAAGGTGAATGCAGTCAGAGACCCACTAAAGCAGCACCGCCCACTCAAGAGTCTGAGCCTGCCTGGCAGGGTAGGTTCAAATGCCAAAGCACCCGGATGAGTGAGCATAATATACAATAATTTCTCAAAGCTGCTAATGAGAACCTTCACGAACTCGTACCTTGCCGGTGGGAATTCCGGTGGAGTACCCCCTCCCAGGTAGGGGCTGTGCTGGCAACGCTGGCTGCAGTAACCCGTGGGGAGGGAGTCACACTCGGACAATCAGAGAGGGGGTATATTATTGTGGCATGGCAGCACAGAATAATCAAATGGTCTGATTGCACAGAGGTGCTTGGGAAAATGGGTCACAACGGGGGACCTGTGGTTGTTGGGGGGAAGGGGGTATCCAAGTTCCATTCGCTAGTACTAGATGTTGGTTAACCTCTTAAGGATTGGATCCTTTTTTTCAATTTTCACCTAAAATGACATACCCAAATTTAACTGCCTGTAGCTCAAGACCTGAAGCAAGGATATGCATATTTTTTATATCATATCAAGGAAACACATTGAAGTTTGTGGAAATGTGTAATTAATGTAAGAGAATATACACATTAGATCTGGTAAAAGATAATATAAAAAAAAAAAAAAATGTTTTCTATTTCATTTTTGGTTCCATTTTTGAAATGCAAGAGAAAGGCCGCAATATAATATTGCAGTTTAGGCACAATTTTGATTTTGGCGCCTAGATGGAAGCAGTGTTTGTGCAAAGTTTCAGATTGATCCAGTAAAGCGTGGCAATACTGGACTATTTTGTATCAAGTCTGCCCAAATGAAATTATCTAACTACAATACATTTTTAAAAGTTAGATAAAATCTTGCTACTATGGAAAGGACAACAAACAAAATTCACCCTGATTAATTCTTTAGTCATATCCCAGTTGATCTATTTACTTATGGCCCTGCCTACACCTAACGACTTGTTTTGTTAATTATATGAGAAAAATATATTCCACTTTATTTGGAACGGCAAGCCAGGCAAAATTAAATGGGCCTATTTATATAAAGAATGTGAATTCAGAGGGCAGAAATGATTAAATATTAATGCATTGGACCTCTCACTAAAGGCTTCAGTTATACAAAAACTATGCTTAAATCTGAACCGGTTCTCTAGCAGATTAGTAAGAATGGCTCACCCCATGTTCAAGAATCACCTTTTTCCCTTCATTCAGATTACAACCTCTCACTTTCGGTTATTTGAAAATGAAATAATCTCCAAAATAAGCCATAGAAAGCTGTTTGACATTTCATTTTACTCCAACAGAAAAGACAGAACAAAAATTACAACAAAATGTATTGTTAAACTCAAATATACTAATTGATAAAAAAACAAAACATGAATTATTGAAAAATAAATTAGAAACAATATAATTTTAGAAATGATATCATAAATAGGACTGGTGGAGTTACAGTGGGGAGAACAAGTATTTGATACACTGCCAATTTTGCAGGTTTTCCTACTTACAAAGCATGTAGAGGTCTGTAATTTTTATCATAGGTAAACTTCAACTGTGAGAGACGGACTCTAAAATTCAAATAACCAAATTCAACCTAGCTAATTTCCGATTTATACGAAATTGTTTGACTACAGAGGTAGCAAAACTGTACTTCAAATCTATGATACTCCCCCACTTAACATACTGCTTGACTAGTTGGGCCCAAGCTTGCTGTACAACAGTAAGACCTATTCAGTCTGTCTACAAACAGGCTCTCAAAGTGCTTGATAGGAAGCCCAATAGCCATCATCACTGTCACATCCTTAGAAAGCATGAGCTCCTGAGTTGGGAAAATCTTGTGCAATACACCGATGCATGTCTTGTATTCAAGATCCTAAATGGCTTGGCTCCCCCTCCACTCAGTATTTTTGTTAAACAGAAAAACCAAACATATGGCAGCAGATCCACAAGGTCTGCCATGAGAGGTGACTGTGTAGTTCCCCTAAGGAAAAGCACCTTTAGTAAATCTGCTTTTTCTGTGAGAGCTTCCCATGTCTGGAATACACTGCCATCAGACACACACAACTGCACCACATATCACACTTTCACAAAATGCTTGAAGACATGGCTAAAGGTCAATCAGATTTGTGAACATGGTCCCTAGCTGTGTGTTGCCGCTTTCCATGTCTGTTGTCTGTAACTTGTGAGGTGTGGAAACATTTTGTTGCTTTTATGAATTTTGTCTTGCTGCTTTTTGTTCTATGTTGCTCGGTGTGTATGCTACGTCTTGCTTGTCCTATGTTGCTATGTCTGTATGCTATGTCTTGTTCTATGTTGTTATTGTCCATATTGTAATTGTTTTTAATAACCTGCCCAGGGACTGCGGTTGAAAATTAGCCGGCTGGCTAAAACCGGCACTTTATTGAAACGTTGATTAATGTGCACTGTCCCTGTAAAAATAAACTCAAACTCAAACTCAAACTCAAAACAAAAATCCAGAAAATAAAATTGTATGAATTTTATGTAATTAATTTGCATTTTATTGCATGACATAAGTATTTGATACATCAGAAAAGCAGAACTTAATATTTGGTACAGAAACTTTTGTTTGCAATTACAGAGATCATACGTTTCCTGTAGGTCTTGACCAGGTTTGCACACACAGCAGCAGGGATTTTGGCCCACTCCTCTATACAGACCTTCTCCAGATCCTTCAGGTTTCGGGGCTGTCGCTGGGCAATACGGACTTTCAGCTCCCTCCAAAGATTTTCTATTGGGTTCAGGTCTGGAGACTGGCTAGACCACTCCAGGACCTTGAGATGCTTCTTACGGTGCCACTCCTTAGTTGCCCTGGCTGTGTGTTTCGGGTCGTTGTCATGCTGGAAGACCCAGCCATGACCCATCTTCAATGCTCCTACTGAGGGAAGGAGGTTGTTGGCCAAGATCTTGCGATACATGGCCCCATCCATCCTCCCCTCAATACGGTGCAGTCGTCCTGTCCCCTTTGCAGAAAAGCATCCCCAAAGAATGATGTTTCCACCTCCATGCTTCACGGTTGGGATGGTGTTCTTGGGGTTGTACTCATCCTTCTTCCTCCAAACACGGCGAGTGGAGTTTAGAACAAAAAGCTCTATTTTTGTCTCATCAGACCACATGACCTTCTCCCATTCCTCCTCTGGATCATCCAGATGGTCATTGGCAAACTTCAGACGGGCCTGGACATGCGCTGGCTTGAGCAGGGGGACCTTGGGTGCGCTGCAGGATTTCAATCCATGAAGGCGTAGTGTGTTACTAATGGTTTTCTTTGAGACTGTGGTCCCAGCTCTCTTCAGGTCATTGACCAGGTCCTGCCGTGTAGTTCTGGGCTGAACCCTCACCTTCCTCATGATCATTGATGCCCCACGAGGTGAGATCTTGCATGGAGCCTCAGACCGAGGGTGATTGACCGTCATCTTGAACTTCTTCCATTTTCTAATAATTGCTCCAACAGTTGTTGCCTTCTCACCAAGCTGCTTGCCTATTGTCCTGTAGCCCATCCCAGCCTTGTGCAGGTCTACAATTGTATCCCTGATGTCCTTACACAGCTCTCTGGTCTTGGCCATTGTGGAGAGGTTGGAGTCTGTTTGATTGAGTGTGTGGACAGGTGTCTTTTATACAGGTAATGAGTTCAAACAGGTGCAGTTAATACAGGTAATGAGTGGAGAACAGGAGGGCTTCTTAAAGAAAAACTAACAGGTCTGTGAGAGCCGGAATTCTTACTGGTTGGTAGGTGATCAAATACTTATGTCATGCAATAAAATGCAAATAAATTACTTAAAAATCATACATTGTGATTTTCTGGATTTTTGTTTTAGATTCCGTCTCTCACAGTTGAAGTGTACCTATGATTAAAAAAAAATACAGACCTCTACATGCTTTGTAAGTAGGAAAACCTGCAAAATCGGCAGCGTATCAAATACTTGTTCTCCCCACTGTACGTGCATTCATGGGGATACCCGTCCGTATCCCACAGTGAGCATACAAACTGAGGACTGGTTGTTGGATTATGAGGTCGGTGTGGTCCCAAAGATGCCGTATGATAAAATACTGTGTAGATACTTTCCTAACTTTGTGAGGTTTGGCCAAAAAAAACTGCATATTTGAGAAGCCAAACCCCCTGACCAAGCAGGAAGTAGCATATAGCCCTCAACATAAGCCAAGAAAAGAGAAGGTTTCTCATGGGCCAACCTCACAGGTGCTAGTAGGGGAGGATGAGGAAGAAGGGGTAGACCCCGTCAATAATGAGCAGCCCGGTACTAGTTGGGCCAGGGTCGATCTGGATTCAGAGGGCGACTATCTAGAACCAACAGACCTGGCAGGGTCCCTGACTAATTTCGGGATGGCCCAGACCCAGGATCCAACCCTGCAGCAAGCCAGAGCAGATGTGCAGGTCGTGGATGGTACCCCCATAAATGACGGGACGATGCCTAATAGTTTCCTCCACTTCATCATGAAAAAGGGTTTGGTGTACTGAGTTTCAAAAATAGGGGTTGATGTGGTGGAACTGTTGTTGGTCCCCACCCGGTACCGGATAACAGTACTGGACCTAGCTCATGGGCATATTCTGGGGGGACACCTTGGTATCGATAAAACCCGAGACAGGATTGTGAGGAGGTTTTATTTGCCAGGAATTCAGGCTGAGGTGGCTCGACATTGTGGAGAGTGCCCCGAGTGCCAGTTAACAGCTCCCCGACCAGCTGTTCGAAGCCCATTAGTGCCACTCCCCATCATCGAAACGCCATTTGAGAGGATAGCAATGGATATAGTGGGCCCACTACCCAAATCTGCCAGAGGGTTCCAATACATTCTGATCATCCAAGATTATGCCACTCGCTACCCAGAAGCCATTCCCCTTCGGACGATGGCTTCCAAAAAGATTGGCAACGAGTTAGTGCTCCTGTTCACCAGGGTAGGGATTCCAAAGGAGAACCTTACTGACCAGGGGACCACCTTATGGCAGACCTTTGTAAATTGTGGCAGGTGAAACAGTTGAGGACATCGGTTTACCATCCTCAGACAGACAGGCTGGTTGAGAGATTCAACTGCACCCTGAAGTCAATGCTCAGGAAGGTAATCGATTAAGGATGGGAAAAACTGGGATTGAACCCGATTCGTGTATCGAACACTGCTCTCCTTGACCACCCCTGTGGCCTGGGCGGACCAGGACGGAGAAACCAATATTCAGGTACTGTCCTGTTCGAAATAACTCTCTCTAGGGTGATTTTGGTGACGGTCTCCCGCTGAATTTGTGTACAAACTCTCCTAACCTTGAAGAGGATTGTCATAATAGCCTAGTTATTGTTATTTTATTGGTGCTCTTTTATTTTTTACTTTAGTTTATTTAGTAAATATTTTTTCTTAACTGCGTTGTTTGTTGGTTGAGGGCTTGTAAGTAAGCATTTCACGGTAAGGTCTACACCTGTTGTATTTGGCGCATGTGACAAATACAATTTGATTTCAATTAATGCATAAACAATAGACGTTCATCCATAATTCAAAGGGAAGTGGGCCGGATTCAAACCCATGCCGGCTCTGGCATATGTGTGCTGGGGTCAGTGGCTGTAACCAGTAGCAGTGTGTGGGTAAAATAACTTGGGTAGACAAGCCGGAAAAGAAAAGCCATATTACAACCTGTGTGTGGTGAGAATTGAGTTGAGCTCTATAAACTGTCAGTTCATTTGCCTTGCGACCGTGATATACTGTATAGTCCTAAAGGCCGAGACAATAAGAAGACACAGTGTCAGAATGAATTCAACCACACCTTTATTTCATCACAAAACCAGAGAGTAACCTCTGTCCGGTGAAGTTCACAAAGCATATTGCATGTAAAAAGTTACATGACCTACAGCATGGTCAAGCAAGTTAATGGTTCCGACATTTTTGGACTACTAAACAACTATTGATTTAGAATCAAGGAGCGTTACAAAGAAAACAGGAGCTGCCTCCACTATTCCAGCACAATTTCAACATCATCAAATCACCTATGTTTAGTCTAATACAGTGACAACTAAAAGATACCAAAACAATTTAATTCAATCCACATAAGATGAATATGATTTGACTGTCCCATGGTTCTGATTTCTGTGTGTGTGTGCATTGCGTTCGTGCAAGTACATAAAACATGTTGACTCACCCTACTCGTAGAGAAATGCCAATGCCGCCATCCTCTGTCATTGAGTACACACTTGTCGTTTTTTTTGTGATAGGCTACCTGGCTAAAATGCTTGCTCGCTAGCCTAACTTCCTTTCATTGGCAACGATGAGCCAGCTAGTTAACATTAGCCTACTACATCTAGCTACACATTGAACTTCCATACTCTCAGGCCAGGGTCACAATGTATGAATTTATGGTTGGATCAGAATTGCCATTATACAGCATGGTCAACAATAAAACAACATGCAACAATTGAAGTTTTTTCTGTCAATGACGTTTTGCACTTGATGTGATGTGATTGGTGTGAAGCCAAATCCAAACTGGCTTCCCTTGACATTTTTTTTAGTGCACCAGAACCATTCACAGTTGAGCTCACTCAGTTTAGCTCAATACTGATTGGCTATTATTTTATACTTTTTTATCAAGGGAGGCCAAATGCTCACTGGCTTTCCTTGCATTCAATGCTACGGGCAGCAAAAATGTAATAATATTTTTGACCAGACAGCATCAGATAGATGGGCTACACATATAGAGACAGAGGGGTGCTGTTTCACTCGCTCAGATGCTTTCTTCGGTGAGATATACATTCAGCCTCTAGTGAATTGAAGGAAAATTATGAAACACAGAGAGACGAAATAAAAATAATTTGTATGTTTCTTAATTTTTGTACTGGTTAATTTCTTGGGGAAGTCTGGCTTCCCTTGGTATCCATGAATACACACTACTGGCTGTAACCGCAAGACCACACAGGCACTGAGGCAACCCCCAAAATATATTCTGCCTATTGCTTGCCTTCAACATAAAATAAAACAATTGATTAAAAAAAACACATCTACCTCTACAAATATACAGATTTATTATAATCCACATAAAAATTCACGTGACACACTGTAGCCTACATAAGGTAGCCTAAAATGTAGGTACGGTACTGCATTGCATACAAACACCGCTTCCAGTTGCCCCCTGGTGGCATTTCAAAATATTTCTTTAGATATTCAAATCCTCCTGCGATGAAAGGGGTAAAATTAACATCAGATATCTGTAAAACCAGACAATCCTGTAATCTACATCAACATCTAGCCTAATTGGGTACAATAATCCCTTCATCCAATCTCTGCCTGATTTTTTTTCCCTCTACTACTCAATTAGATCATATCTAGATAGGTTATTTTATTTTGTGTGTCAGTGACGGACCAAAATTAGAAAAAGTACAGCATAGTTGTGATGCTGCAGATGGCAGTGTGCAATAATCAGTTTTTTCACATGCAGCCATTTTAGTCATTTACCTGATACAAAATAATAGACTTTGATAGCCTACAACTTGTGTTAGAAAGCAATATGTATATGTGTAAATGTATGATTTCATTGTACCTTCACTGTATATTATATCTTCCAATGATATGATAGACCATATACTGTCGTCATTGCTGTAGAACTGAACTATAATGGCAATATCCACGCCTTACTAACAGTGAGGACCATCCAGTGCATTGTCCTAGGCTGCAGTACGGTAAAACCTGTAAACCATGCCCACTCTTTCCCAGCCCATAAAACCTAAACTTGGTACAGTATTAAGCCGTCAGTTATTTGAGTGGTGCCACAGTCTTGGAATAGCGCTTCAGTATAACAAAGAAAAAATATTAGGGACTGGGCATTATAGTAATCACATGGGCTTGCTGCTGCCACACTATCTTTAATCTAGCAATTACGTTTTGTGGTTCAGAGTGCAATATTCATTTACTTTCATAGCGGAAATGTTTGGTAGCAAGTTCCTCACTTCAATTCAGCTTGGTGGAGAGCAGTGGCGGTAGGTGCCGTTCTATACCCATCACGAGGTTGCTACATCCTAGCCTACGAATGAAAGTTTATAACTTAGGTGCACAGGTCAAGAGAACATTTGGAGTAATCAAGGTGACTCCAAACAGTTGAAAACAAGAGATTCTATCTGACAAACTCAGGGAGGTTAATTCCCATTTTGTTCTGTTTGCTACTGTTTAATAAACATTTTTCAACAGAATCTGTGGAATGAATACGCCCCTGATCACCCGCACACACAGTTCACCTTCATAGCAACCACATACAAACAGCATCATCATTTTCCTTGTTGTATAATTCCTTATCATATATACGTGCTCTCCTCTTCTCACCTTTTCCCTTCACAGCTGTCTGTGACCAGGCGATAAAACCTTTCCAAGCCAAACCTTCATACCATAACTGTTAATCGCTACATACAGCCTACATCTTGTCACCATATTAGCTAACATAGTTTTACTAGCTATGTTGACTAACACATTAGTAAACCCACTACAACCACACAGTACAGCAAGCAGTTTAGCAGTTACACCAGCGGGCCCCGTTGGCAATAAATTAATACAACTGAAAGCTTACCTTGACTTGTAATAGTTCCAGTGCTGGATAGCCTTAGCTAGTACTAGATTAATTCTCTGATCCTTTGAGTCAGTGGACCACATCTCAGTTAATGCTGCAAGAGCTCTGATAGGTTGGAAGTCATCATAATTACTGTGTAAATCTATGGAAGGGGATGAGAACCATGAGCCTCCTAGGTTTTGTATTGAAGTCAATGTACTCAGAGGAGGACGGAAAATAGCTGTCCTCCGGCTACACCATGGTGCTGCCCCAGATAGAGCTGTTGAGGCTACTGTAGACCTTCATTGAAAAACTGTGTGTTTTAATCAGTTATTTGGTGACATGTCAATATACTGTATTTAGTATAGTTTTACCTAAAAATCATAACCCTTTTAATGTTTCACTATTTTAATTTTTATGAAATTCACTGAGTAGGATGGTCCTCCCCTTCTTCCTCTGAAGAGCCTCCACTGGAGAGTCAACTCCAAAAGAGTCAATTCCTCGACTCCTTGACCACCAACAGCCGGAGTCAACTCCAAATCCTGGAGTCGTTTAAAGAAAAATAGCCTAGGCAGCGAGGCTGACATAGGCTACTGATTAACCTTGAATATGTTGGTTAGTAGATATTGTCAGACGGCTCCATAAGCATTGCTAATGAATTACCCAGTTCATTAGAGTGCGTGTACATACTCTGACATTGCAGCTGTAGCAAATATTTGCTGATTTTGGTCCGTTTTGTCAATTGACATGGTTGTGGCAAGGTAGATGTGCTTGTTTTAAGATCAAAGCAAGAGCTGCATGTAGCCATGTGTAAACATTTGTTCATACCCGTTGCTAGTTAGTGAGTTATTAGCCCAGTCATATATAATTTCTGGTCAGCAACGGGGGTCTGATCGCTTCCTACAATAGCACAAAACGTGCATTTCTAGACATCTTTGAAAAGCGAGTTGGGTAAAGAGCTTTTTACATTTGTCTTAAAGGGGTAGTGTTGTATTTTGAGACAGGCTTGAATAAGCTAAGTAGCCAATAGGCAGAGGGTAGTATAATTAGTCTGATTCTGTGTAACAATGTATGGGAATAATACTTTTGTAAAGTGGTTTCTTGCATTAAAACAACACAACATTTTCAGTCATCTCCCTGTCTGAAGGACAAGTGGATAAACAGGTTAATGTCAAGCCCTGCATGTTTTTTTCAAAGGTCTCATGGAGTGTAGGCCTACATTGAACACCACACATAGGCTGAATGATAGAACAGCTATTTCCATGTTAAAATGTTATGGGATGCATTCTCCTACATTATGATCAAATAGCCACAGTAGCCTACTTGACCACTGTCTGAAACTATAACTTAAAGCAGGTACAGCCTAAGTGTTCACCGTAAACACACGCTAGAAGTTGCACAGAAATTTCACAACATTCAATTTTGCGCTCAATAGACCTGAAATTTGCTCAGTGCCTGAGAAAATTAGAGGCAACATTGGTCATAGGTGTGTTGTTCTTTGCTCAGATCACCACATCATTACTTATAACTTTGGAGAACTATAAACCTTAAATGGTATATAAAAACGCTGTAAATTAATGATAACAACAGACAATTAGTGATAGCAGATTGTCAATCCAAAACCAACGGTTTCCATTCATAAGACTGAAAAGATATAGCCATTGGTCTCTTATTTGAACCATTTCTCTGTTAAACTTTTTCAAACATCATTTATAGGCTTATGTTTTATCACCATCTTGTGGAGAAAGACAGAGGGGAGCAATGTCAGCATTAAAGGGGCAATATGGGATTGGTATATAGAGGTCTACATCAAAAGTTTGCAGGACCTCAAACAAGGATACACATAGAATGTATCATTAAGTTGAGTAGTATCTGGTTCAAAGACTACAATGGTTGAATTTAGACAGTGAATGGGTGCGTCCCAATAATATCTACTTTCTCCTGAAGTGTTCACTACTTCCCACAAGCATTGAATAAGTTGAGGCATGGGCTAGTGGCCTTTCCACCATATTTATTTCAAATCAGTGAAGGGAAGTGAACAAGTGCCCTCTTTGGGAGGAAGGAGAAATAAGTAGATAACATAATTGGAACATACCCCTTGTCAACGACGACAGGAAATTACATCACATTGGAGGAGCAGTTAGGAACCACAAGGCGTAAGTAATACTGTTTCACCTCACATCATCTCTTTTCCAACTAAACACAAATATCTTCAGGTTCAATAGAGGACACATCAGAAACATCATAGAAATGTCTCTAGGCTCTGTGGTCATTCTTTGCTCACTTTATTTAAGTAAGTGTTTGTCCATCCATCACTTACAATATAATTTTTCCTACAATGCACCATGGCCATGGAGCAACTGGAAATGACTTGTGGAAAATTGTATCTGTAATTTAAGTCTATGATTGATGCAAAGATTCTGGACACGTAATTGCTTTTAACTTTTGCTGAGTGTGTTGTCATTTTTTGTCTGAGTGTGTTGTTGTTGTCATTTTGTCATTGCAGTGTCAGTGGCAGGGCAGAAATTGGACCAGGAGATTTCATGGACTATGAGAAAGGGAGAGGCTGTCTCCTTCAGCTGCAAAGGCATGCATCAGTGTGGAACATATGTCTACTGGTACCAGAAGAAGGAGGGAGAACCTTTTACCTTGATTCTCAACATCGAAAAGGGTAACTGCGATGTCGATGCACGTTACAACCATCCTCAAAAAGATGACTTCTCAGCCATGAGCATGAATAACAACTGTGATCTAAAAATCCAGTCAGTTAAAGTGTCCCATTCTGCCATGTACTACTGCACCTGCTGGATCTCAGGAACCCACAGTGAGAACTGATCCATTCACCCTGTACAAAAACTTTTAGTCAAGCTGTGAAATCATAAAAAATAAAACAAGTTTTTTTAACCACAGGAAATGACATAGTCAGAGGAACTTTTTTAGATGACACACCCCAGCTGATGTTTCACCTCTCCTCTTCATAATCAACGATATGATACAAACCATACTTCAGCAAAGATCTGTGAAATAAATGAGATTTTCAGTGATAATTTCTTATTCACATTGATATTGTTCAATGTTATAGAACACGTAGCTTTTCATTTTCCCAATTCTTAAGCACATATTCACTTAACGTAAACTGTGGTATGATAATATTCTCTATTTTTCTGGGTAAGTGGTTCATCCAACCTGCATCCAGCTGGTATCTAATATTTGAATGGAATAACTCTACTGTGAGTTTTTTGGTGATCCACTTCAGTATGGCAGTGGCTGCTTCAGGACAATGGCTGCAACAGGACCAGATATCAGAGACTAGGAGAGAAAGACAGAGTGTCTCCTTCGGCTACAAAGTTTCTGGTCAGTGTTTGGGTACATAATCCAATGGTACCAGAAAAGAGAGGGTGAACCCTTCACTCGGTTTCTATACTATAATTTAATAAGCAATGTTGTCACCCTTGATACCACTCATCCTCAGAGAGCAGATTTCTCTGTTGGGAGGAAGTCTGACTCCAATGAGCTGAAGATCCAGTCAGTTATAGTGTCCCATTCTGCCATATACTACTGTGCCCGCTGGGCCTTGGGAACCCACAGTGAGAACTGATTCGCACAGCCTGTACAAAAACGTTGTGATTTTAATCAAGCTGTGAATTCCTTAAAATGTTTCTGCACCACAGTAAGTGACATAATCAGAGTTTAGAGGGGTCAGAGTGTCTTCTTTTTCAAATTAAAAGTTAAATGCTATTCTAAAAGGAATTCTAAATACATAGGTGAGATGTCTTGCCAATGAGCAAACCATGTCTAAACTGCATCTTCCTGATGTGTCCTGTATACATCGTGTGCAGAGGTTGGGCAGAGGTTTCTGTGCTATCTGGGTATATCGTGAATATAGGATGGCTATTTTAGGCCTATGTGACGCAGCTCACTTGTCAGTCATTGTCCCAGCAATTTTGCACCCTATAGGCAATATTAAATGTGCAAAAATAACTTAAGAAATAGGTTAAATTACATTACCAGAGATTCTCATATGGCACTTACATTGTATTACCGGGCTATATCAGCCATTATGCTAGATGTAGTTTGAAGAGAGCAGAGTTGGAGAGACTTGCACTTACTCTTGAGCAATTTTTATAGCCTACCTTTAAGGAGTGGGAAGATTCCCAGCAGGGTCAGACAGCCAGGGAAGACCAGTCTACCGAGCTCAGGTGTTTTACCGAGCTCAATTTTGCAGTATTTTCAGTGAATGATACAAAGTTCCACCTTGAATTGATGGGTAGACCTACAGTAGCTACAGGACAGCAGCTTAAGCTTAAAGCTACAGTCTGGAATCTGGGAATAATGGTCATTTCAATTATTGAACCATTTATTCTATTCTTGGATAATGTAATGTATAAATGTTCACCAAGGTAATTATTTGTCATGCCTCATTTTAGGAGGGTCAGATGGTGACAGGGGTCTCAGCAGGGTCAGGCAGCCAGGAAAGACCTGTCTGTGACAGAGGTGAGGTGAATTTTTGCAGATACAACATTTTATTCTCTCTGTGCAGCAAACACTGGAAAAGCCAGATGCTATTTTAAGGCAGTCTGACAAACCTCAAGTTGATTTCCAAACTATCAAGGGTTGATAGAGGCTTTTTCCGATGACACGAAACATATCAAACAAAGGAAGAAGACCTGGGAGACGCTACTGATGATGATGATGATGATGAATGTATACAGATATGTTAGAATGCCCAGTCATGTTCATATAATCTCAGACATAAATTACTGCAGTTTAATACCATCCATAGAACGTACTATATGCCAGTGAAACTGAATATCATGCACTCAGAGATTGTATTATTCTGCTGGAGGTGTAAAGCACAAAAGGGGACGTATTTGCAATTGTTGTGGTCTTGTGAAAGCTGGCTGAATTCTGGCAAAGAGTATGTTCTTTTATCTCAGCATGTCTACAGATTCTCACTTCTCCTGGTTTTTGTTTGCTTGGAAATGTTGATACTGGAGACTGTTATCAGAAGAAACTGTGTAACCTAGCATTTATAGTGGCTAATAAATGCATTGACATTAATTGGAAGGATGGTTATCCTCCCACAATGTATGGAAGAAATGTCAAGTTGTGTATAGTATCACTAGATTTTTTTTAAGGTTAAGGGTATACTGTGCAACTTTTATAAGGTCTGGATGCCTTATTTGGAATACTGTACACAAAAGGAGTCTGTATTGAAAACATGCCCACGTCAGGGGAGATACCTATTTAAGCAATCCCTAGCTGCTGGGCTGCTCAGTCCTGGCCCTGGGGGTCTGCTGTACTGTTTTCACTCTGGCCTTAGCCTAACACACCTGAAACCAATAATGAATATTTCACTAAGATCCTAAAGCTGAGTGGGGTGTGTTGGGTTGAGGCGCTACAGGGCCGTGGACCCCTAGCGTCAGGACGGGGTGACCCAGCTATATTGTGTGTAAGTACAAAACTGCTCTACAGTACTATTAGGCCTATGATAGGAATTATATGGAGGGTGTACTGTTTCTGTGTGTTAATGTGTAGCTGTACAGTGGGGGGAAAAAGTATTTAGTCAAATCAAATCAAATCAAATCAAATTTTATTGGTCACATGCGCCGAATACAACAGGTGCAGACATTACAGTGAAATGCTTACTTACAGCCCTTAACCAACAGTGCATTTATTTTAAACAAAAAAGTAAGAATAAAACAACAACAAAAAAGTGTTGAGAAAAAAAAAGCAGAAGTAAAAATAAAGTGACAGTAGGGAGGCTATATATACAATAGAATAAAGTGACAGTAGGGAGGCTATATATACAGGGGGGTACCGTTGCATAGTCAATGTGCGGGGGCACCGGCTAGTTGAGGTAGTTGAGGTAATATGTACATGTGGGTAGAGTTAAAGTGACTATGCATAAATACTTAACAGAGTAGCTGCAGCGTAAAAAGTATGGGGTGGGGGGGCAGTGCAAATAGTCCGGGTAGCCATGATTAGCTGTTCAGGAGTCTTATGGCTTGGGGGTAGAAGCTGTTGAGAAGTCTTTTGGACCTAGACTTGGCACTCCGGTACCGCTTGCCGTGCGGTAGCAGAGAGAACAGTCTATGACTAGGGTGACTGGAGTCTTTGACAATTTTGAGGGCCTTCCTCTGACACCGCCTGGTATAGAGGTCCTGGATGGCAGGGAGCTTTGCCCCTGTGATGTACTGGGCCGTACGCACTACCCTCTGTAGTGCCTTGCGGTCAGAGGCCAAGCAGTTGCCATACCAGGCGGTGATGCAACCAGTCAGGATGCTCTCGATGGTGCAGCTGTAGAATTTTTTGAGGATCTGAGGACTCATGCCAAATCTTTTTAGTCTCCTGAGGGGGAATAGGCTTTGTCGTGCCCTCTTCACGACTGTCTTGGTGTGTTTGGACCATGATAGTTCGTTGGTGATGTGGACACCAAGGAACTTGAAGCTCTCAACCTGTTCCACTACAGCCCCGTCGATGAGAATGGGGGCGTGCTCAGTCCTCTTTTTTTTCCTGTAGTCCACAATCATCTCCTTTGTCTTGGTCACGTTGAGGGAGAGGTTGTTGTCCTGGCACCACACGGCCAGATCTCTGACCTCCTCCCTATAGGCTGTCTCATCGTTGTCGGTGATCAGGCCTACCACTGTTGTGTCGTCGGCAAACTTAATGATGGTGTTGGAGTCGTGCCTGGCCATGCAGTCATGGGTGAACAGAGAGTACAGGAGGGGACTGAGCACGCACCCCTGAGGGGCCCCCGTGTTGAGGATCAGTGTGGCAGATGTGTTGTTACCTACCCTTACCACCTGGGGGCGGCCCGTCAGGAAGTCCAGGATCCAGTTGCAGAGGGAGGTGTTTAGTCCCAGGATCCTTAGCTTAGTGATGAGCTTTGAGGGCACTATGGTGTTGAATGCTGAGCTGTAGTCAATGAATAGCATTCTCACGTAGGTGTTCCTCTTGTCCAGGTGGGAAAGGGCAGTGTGGAGTGCGATAGAGATTGCATCATCTGTGGATCTGTTGGGGCGGTATGCAAATTGGAGTGGGTCTAGGGTTTCTGGGATTATGCTGTTGATGTGAGCCATGACCAGTCTTTCAAAGCACTTCATGGCTACAGACGTCAGTGCCACGGGTCGGTAGTCATTTAGGCAGGTTATCTTAGAGTTCTTGGGCACGGGGACTATGTATGGTGGTCTGCTTGAAACATGTTGGTATTACAGACTCAGTCAGGGACATGTTGAAAATGTCAGTGAAGACACTTGCCAGTTGGTCAGCACATGCTCGGAGTACACGTCCTGGTAATCCGTCTGGCCCTGCGGCCTTGTGAATGTTGACCTGCTTAAAAGTCTTACTCACATCGGCTACGGAGAGCGTGATCACATAGTCGTCCGGAACAGCTGGTGCTCTCATGCATGCTTCAGTGTTGCTTGCCTCGAAGCGAGCATAGAAGTGGTTTAGCTCGTCTGGTAGGCTTGTGTCACTGGGCAGCTCGCGGCTGTGCTTCCCTTTGTAGTCTGTAATAGTTTTCAAGCCCTGCCACATCCGACGAGCGTCAGAGCCAGTGTAGTATGATTCAATCTTAGACCTGTATTGACTCTTTGCCTCTTTGATGGTTCGTCGGAGGTCATAGCGGGATTTCTTATAAGCGTCCGGGTTAGAGTCCTGTTCCTTGAAAGCGGCAGCTCTACCCTTTAGCTCAGTGCGGA